CCAATTTTACAGGTGAGGCTTTGGAGACAGTGAAGTGATGTGACCAAGTCCTCACAGCTAAGTTAAAGTGGAGCCAGAATTTAGGCGCTAGAGGTCTGAACCCAAACTCCTGCACTCAACCAAGCTGCCCCCTCAGGGAAGGACCCTGCGTGGGATCCCTGAAGAGTCACAGCATCTATGTGGACTTTTTTCTTCCCAGGTTCTTTGGTTAGAAATGGTATTTCTTGATTGACTTAGTACTAGTATTTATAACCTTTGAATAAAGACAAAGGGATGAGACCTAGAGCTTCCTGGTTCTAAGTGAAGACGGTAGCAGTTAGGATGAGATGATTATAGCTGGATGAGTTCTCGCAAGAGCTTGGGGCTTCCTTGTTCCTACTCTCTGGCAGAAAGCTGAGACGTCCATGATGGGCATATAGTTTCTGGTCCTTTGTCAGGAAGCAAAGGAATTAGGAGAGCTATTCCATTAATAGAGTGAAAGATTATATCTATGCTACATTTTCTATTTCTTGAATATTAAATATATTTAATAGTTAATGTATGATCAAAGTATAGCATGAGAGCCATCAACATACCCAAGATGGGTATTTTTTTTTTTGCAGCTATTAATATTTCACCTCTACCCTTTTTTTTTTTTTGTTTGATATGGAGTCTTTTTGATACTCTGTCGCCCCAGCTGGAATACAGTGGCACAATCTCAGCTCACTGCAACCTCTTCCTCTTGGGTTCAAGTGATTCTCCTGTCTCAGCCTCCTGAATAGCTGTGATTACAGGCACACACTACCACACCCAGCTAATCTTTGTATTTTTAGTAAAGATGGACTTTCACCATGTTGGCCAGGATGGTCTTGATCTCCTGACCTCATGATCTTCCCTACTCGGCCTCCCAAAGTGCTGGGATTACAAGCGTGAGCCACGGCGCCCAGCCCTCTACCCATTTTTAATGCAGATTTGTGTTTCAATGCAGGTGTGGATTCTTTGGGCTCTGTCTTTCAGAGCTCTTTAAGGAAGCTTTTTCTTCACATAGACCAGCATGTAAGCTTTGTATTTAGTCCTTTGAAGTTTGTACAAAGTGCTTTGATCTTTGTTTCTATATCTGTTTTGTGGAGGGATTATTGATTTGATTCTAAAGAATTCCATTTTATTGCAATTTAAAGATAACACCTTAGTAAGAAACATAATAATGAGTATCAATACAATTTGAGTCAAAATTGGACATATTTTAAGTAGGTTAATGCAATTTAATTGTTCTCTGACATTGTATGAGTATTATTTCCTGAGCTTTTATGATTTCAGGGTTTTTCTTGCTAATTTACTTTTATATGGGTTAAATAAATGTATTTAATCAGAATCTGAGAGCATCTGTGTGTCATGTAATATGTGAGGCATTTTTAATCAAGTATTTTTATGTGCTTGCCAACTAGCAGACCCTGGATTAAGGAAGTTGGAATATAGCAGTGAACAAAATCACAGAAATGTTTTTGGATTCAGGTGGAAGAGAGAAAAACATGCATATAGTAGGTGGTTTTAAATACAAAAATAAAGCACGGATGAGAGATTGGGTGTGTCAGGTGGGCTAGTTGCGATTCTAAATATTGGGGTCCAGTGATGGGCCTTGCTCTCACATAGCTTACAGCCTCGTAATAATTCTTTGTTCAAAGAATTGTCGTTCTTTGATCATAGTGTAGAGTAAGGGCTATCAACATACCCAAGATAGGTATTTTTTGAAACTATTAGTATTTCATCTCTACCCATTTTTATTGCACATTTGGGTTTCAATGCCAGTATGGGTTCTTTGGTCTCCCCTCCCCTCCCCTCCCCTCCCCTCCCCTCCCCTCCCCTCCCCTCCCTTCTCCTCCCCTCCCCATCTCCTCCTCCTCTCCCTTCCCCTCCCTTTCTTTTTTTTGAGACAGGGTCTCGCTTTTTCACCCAGGCTGGAGTGCGGTGGTGTGGTCATAGTTCACTGCAGCCTTGAATTCCTGGGTTCAAGAGATCCTTGTGCCCTCAGCCTCCCAAGTAGCTGGAACTATAGGCATGTGCTACTATGCCTAGCCAATTTTTACATTGTTTAAGAGACAGGGTCTTGCCATGTTTTCCAGGCTGATCTTTAGCTCCTGGAATTAAACGATCCTCCGATCTTGGCATTCCAAAGTGTTGGGATTACAGGAATGAGCCACTGTGCCTGGCCTGTTTCTTGATGAACACTTCACGAGACTAGGGACTCTGCTAAGTAAATATGTACATTTCCTTCTAATCCACTGAAGATTAGAAGGGCATTATTCCTACAGAGGTCATTATTCCTACTTTTTCTGGAAGGAAACCAAAGCTCTGAGAGTCAAATAAATTGCCAAATGAACACAGTGAGATACAGATCTGACTCCAAAGCCCGTGCACTTAAACATGGTATCAGACCATGTCAACTTTGGAAATATTTGTTATGGAAGAATTATCCAAATTTGGAGCTAAGTCTGTCTTTTATTTCATTCTGATGTTTTGTGCAGTAGGTTGGCTGGATCATGGAGTGTGCGTGTTACCTGTGTTACTGTGAGCTTCCCTCCACCATTGCAGTAGTTCTATTTTAAAGGAGTTAGGGTTATGCCCTGTGGCCACATGACAGGCAAAGGAGCTGCTTGGTTACTGACTTCCATGCAGTGGGATGCATTTGTTTGTGAGAGAGTGAGCTCTGTTTACTCCAGCAAATCATTGACTACTTGAATTCCTGGCATTGCATTTCAGAGATAGGACACTAATTTGGCTGGCCTATGTATCATGTCCAAGAGCATGTTATAAATGCTCACATTTAGAAGGGACTGTAAAGTGAGTAAAAGGTAATAATGCAAAGGTCGCTGCTCACTGTGTTTATCACAGAATAGGTCATCCCTTGTATTTCCAATGATTGCCTTATCATCATAAAAAGTGAAAATAAAATGAGTGTATTGGATCTGAAATCTTCATTGAGGGCTGTAGAAAGGAGATCAAGGGTTCAAGAGAGCTGTGTTTCTCCTTCCTGCCTGAAGTATGAGGCAGATCCAAAGTGGGAGGATGATCAGCTGAGTGCATTCTTTGTCTGGGTGTTGATGGTTCTTTTGTGTTTTGGCTAATTTAATGTTTGGCATGTGTATGTTGGTCATTAGTCCAAAAAAGGGGCCATATATTTACAACTCTGCTATTTTTTGTTGTCAGTTTCTAGTGAGTTTCCCCACTTACTACTTCAAAGTTAAAGTGCTGTAGATTTTTATGAGGATTTTCTTTTTATTAAAGAGATAAGCTATGGTTTGATAACTTGTGCTTGTTTACTTTTTTGAGGGATAATATACAGAAAAGTATACATATTATAAGTGTACAACTTAAATACTTTTTGGAAACTGAGTGCACTTAAGTAAACCAGTTTCTAGATTGAAGCACAAATGATTGGCATCCTAGAGGCCCTCATCCTCTTTCAATCTCTTCTGTCATTCTCTTCCAACAAAAGTAACCACCATTCTGACTTCTAGCAGCATAGTGTTGTTTTGCCTGTCTTTGCACTTTATGTGAATGGAATGATACAACCTGTTCTCTTCTGCATTTGGCTTCTTTTTCTTTCCCTTGTTTGAGAGGTTGAACCTGTGGTTGAATGTAGTTGAAGGTTGTTTATTTTTGTTGCCATGTAATAATTCATTATGTGGATATGCCATAATTTATCTATTACAATGTTAAAGACATCTACACTGCTTCCAGTTTATATTGTGATGAATAGTGCTGTGATAAACCTTCTCATATATAACATATGTAAGCATTTATGTTGGGTGCATACTTAGAAATGGAATCATTACATCATAGAATATCATTGTATTTAGCTCGAATAGATATTACCAAGTGGCTTAAGAGTTTAAGCCACTTTACATCTCCAATTTACATCTCCACCAGTAGTGTGAGAGTTGATGAATTTTATTGTTGAGATGTCTTTTGGGAGGTGTGTGAGAGGTGCATACTGTTATTCGGTTCATTTCAGTACCTTTGTTTTCTGGAAAGGAAAGGTCATAGTTGCCTTGTTGATTCTTTGAAAGCTAAGTTAAAAATTTGTCTCTGTGTACTCACACTCTCCTTTTTCTTTGTCTTTGTATATATGAATAGATATGTGTTTTATGTTGATGTCTTCTACATACATAGATGTGTGTATTTTATTTTACAAATATACGACTGTGCTGTTAGACTGGACAGGCCACTTAGAAGTTTTCTCACTCAGGCTCCTACAAGTTTCTGAATTCACACTGATCCTACTTAAGTGTCTCTAATGAGGGGAAGCGCGTTCTTTTAGGATGACCCCTCCCTTTGTTAAGTAGCGTGTTGTTGCTTCGACACTGGTACCATCTGCCTCTTTTTAACTTCTCCCGTAAATATCATGACCTTTCCTAGGTAAACAAAAAACCCATGATTCATATAATACAGTGAAGTTTCTTCAGGCAGAGGTTCATGGCTATTTTTTAAATGACCACTTTTCAACATTTGCAGGGTCAAGGTCTCTGAGCAGTTTGCTCTGGAGAACTTGGATGAAAAACCTTAAGGATGATGGGGAAAAAAACCCTCAGTGCAAAGTCACTTCTATTTTTCTTCCTATTTTTAAGGTTGTTGATTTTTTTTCTCCCATTTCCCAGTTTTTCATTCATGAGCAAACCGATGCCCCCTCGTTGGGTTTAAAAATTGTTTAAGGTGGAAATGCAAAAAAATGCATATTATGTATTTAAAAATTAGACAAAAGTGAATAAAATGAAAAAGTAGCACTGCTTTTTATAGAAAACTGACAATTGTGTTAATGAATGTCAATGAGTATAGAAAATCGATGCATTATAATTTGTCAAATCAATGAATATGGAAGAATTCTTCTGATGGAGATCATATGAGTGCTAAGAGATTTGAGCTTCCAGGTGATATTAATTTTCATATAACTTTAGAATAAAAATGAGTTTTTAATTATTTAAGGTTCACAGATATTACCTAATAGATATTTTCTTTCTTTACAGGCAAGAAGAGACTGATAGGAGAGTAAAAAATGTAAGATACATTTACCTTAATGGAGCATTATAAGTGGCTTTCACTTCCATGTTCTATAAGGAAGTAGTGAATCTAAAAGTATACTCTATATCCCTTTTCTAATTAATTTTTTGCTACAAACCAATCAGTTACAAACAGTAAATATCTTTAAATGTATGCCTTACAACAAATGGTTAGATTGTTCTGCTCCCACTGATAAGGGAGAACATGTGGTATTTGGTTTTCTGTTCCTGCATTAGTTTGCTCAGGACAATGGCTTCCAGCTCTGACCATGTCTCTGCAAAGGACCTGATCTTGTTGTTTTTTTGTTTTGTTTTGTTTTTTTATGACTGCATAGTATTCCAGAGTTGAACAATGAGAACACATGGACACAGGGAGGGGAACAACACACACTGGGGCCTGTTGGGTGATGGGAGAGGGAAAGCCTCAGGATAAATAGCTAATGCATTTGGGGCTTAATACATAGGTGATGGGTTTGATAGCAAACCACCATGGCACACATTTACCTATGTAACACACCTGCATGTTCTGCACATGTATCCCGGAACTTAAATTTAAAAACATTTGGGTTGAGTTGTATAAGAGGATAGGTTAGATTTAGGAAGCTGTTATGTGTTAGTAATATGGTAAAGGCAAGTAAACACATTTTCAGGTTTTTATGGGCGTAAATAGGAAACTACCAATTCAGACTTTAAGGAAGAACATTACATGTTTAAGGACTCCAGGTAATTGTTCAATGTAGACTCCTACATCTTACAATATTTTATGCAAATTGAAAGAATATCTAAAAATGTTGCAGCTTTATTTTTAAAAAGCTTAATGTCCTTATTAAGGAAGCTGAGAATTATTGTTTAGGTGATCATTCTGTAAATTTGATGAAAAAATATTGATTGCTTTAGAAGTTACATTTGTGTTTCATTTTTTCCATTTTCATCTATACTAGTAGGGTATATGAATGAATACCTTTTGGAGTCTTGACTTCTGGTCTAAGAACTTGCTCAGAGACAGGAGAATTTAGGAAGAAAAATTAAGATTTTTAATGACTTTCCCATAAACTTAGAAGGTCTCCTTTTCAACAATAGAGTCATGTGTGCTATCATTTATCTACAGTACTCACCTACATTTGAGCTTGCAATTGGTTGCTAATAGACTGATTGTTGTTAATGGATTTTTTTTTTAAGGTTTTGATAACATTGTACTGGCTGGGAAGAAAAGCACAAAGTGACCCCTACTATAATGGTCCCCATCTTAATTTGAAAGCATTTGAGAATCTTTTAGGACAAGCCTTGACAAAGGTAAGTAAATCACATCTGTGTGAGATTACTACTGTAATACAGTCGACTACTTTCCCTTCCTCCTCTCCTCTCCTTTTTCTTCTCCTTCTCCTCTATAACAAAGTATGGCAACTCTGACTGTCTTTGTCCCACTCTTGATTGGCTGAGTAAGTAAATTGTTACTCATTTACTGGCTTTATATGTCACCACCAAGGAGTGAGTTGAGTCTATTCCAGAGCAATTTCCAAGGTGTAGAGACTTACCTTTTAATTCTACATAATTTGGTGACACATGCATTGGCTTCCTTCCCTACACACTTTATATAGCTTAAGTATTTCTATACTCATTGTAGACTCAACCTGTAGTAGACAGGTGCTTCCTGGACTGTTAACGTGCATGGAATATACTCAATTTCTTTGCAATAATGTGTTGTTGTCATAGGTGATGGTCTTTAATGCCCACACTTTAATATTCCCACAATTCTACCACACTGCCTCTGTTTCCTAAAGAGTAGTACATGGTGTGAACTGGAACTTCATACAAGGTTTTTAAGTTAGAATCCTTTGTTTTATACACATTTCTGGTCATGCATATTCTGGAGTCAATGTGACAGCCTTTTGAATGCTTGAGGACCATTTGAAGAGAGCCAAGTGCTAGGACTGACCATAGTTCTGGCAAGTCTTCATTTATAAGATCTACATGGGAATACAAATTCTCAGGGTAGGGGTATTTATTCAGGGAAATTTGTAGGACTCAGAAGAGCCCTTTTGTGTAGTCACAATAGGGTTTCATCATCTAATTAGTAGTCATTGTTTCATGGGTTTCTCTAATGATTAAATGATACCACACGAGTAAGGCATTTAGCGTTAGTCTTTAGCACATTGTAAGGTTGCAATAAATGTTAGTTGCAGTGATTGGAAGATAGAAATTTTAGACCAGAATGAACATGATCACCTTGCCCTGCATCTCCTGCATCTACCTTGATCTTTTTTTTTTTTTTTTTTTTTTTTTTTGAGATGGAGTCTTGCTCCCTTCACGCAGGCTGGATTGCAGTGGTGCCATCTAGGCTCACTGCAACCTCCACCTCCTGGGTTCAAGCGATTCTTCAGCCTTGGGAGTAGCTGGGATTACCCGCGTGCACCACCATGCCTGGGTTATTTTTGTATTTTTAGTCGAGACAGGGTTTTGCCATGTTGGTCAGACTGGTCTTGAACTCCTGACCTCAGGTGATCTCCCCACCTTGGCCTCCCAAAGTCCTGGGATTACAGGCGTGCATGAGCCACCATGCCCAGCTGCATCTACCCTGATCTTTAAATAATTTTGCCTGAGCCTAGCCATGATACAGCAATTCCTGTTCACCACACCCCAAATGTAAGAAGTCAATAACACTCTATTCAAATTCCTTGAATAAGTTAATTCAAGAAATAGCTGCGACATTAACATGCGTACACATTGTAGTAAGTATTGAGAAAACACTCATGAGAGATTACCTAGCCTCACAAAGCATGATTGTCTGAGATAGATGAGCACACTGTTCACTGCAATGAAGAATGGTGAGGCTCTAATGAAGGAATTTCAGGGGGCTTTGAACATAGGGAGAGCCTTGCCTTACAGTTATGTCAGCTAAGAAAACTTTTGCTTAAAAACTGTGTGGGACTTTGACTTATGTACTAGTGCTCTCTTTATAGCTGTTGGTCCTTTTAATGACAGTCTGACTCAGGTTGAATAATCCTAATACAGTGTCTATGCCAGGAATGCTTTGTCAAAGGCTGTTTCCTGTTACCAGGTTCAAAACCAGAGGGAGTAGACGAAGACCTTATGGTGGATAAAACTATTGTTGTGGTTCTATTATTCTATTATAATAAAGTGGGGGTAGCTGTAGAGGCATGTGACCATATCACTGCTTTTGCATCAGTTCTATTAAAATCAAAACCAATGTGTTCATCACGCTTTTCCCATTTAACCAGATAATGCCTAAAAGCGAACGTAAAATACCAATTAAAAATCATTGGTGTAAGTTGTAACACCTCAGTCATCTTATAAGTTGGAGGTGACTCATTTTAGGTGATTCGTCAGGGTTTCTCCTTAAAAACCAGGCACCAGGGTCAGACAGGTTATTTTAAAACTGAAGTGACTGTCATCAATAACTTTAACATTTATGAGGTCAAAAATCCATCTTGCGTGTTGGACTCTAAGGCCTTAGCAAGTACTTGTCTAAGAAACATGATGGATCTAAATACTTAAATTAAAAAAAAAACAACAACAACTTTCTGTATTTGAGAAGAATTTTGGCAACATCAGCACTAGGCCTGGCTTCCCCATCGGCTTGGAAGTAGCAGGATGTTAAGGTAGGCACTTGCATTTTCATGACAGGATGTCAACTCTAATTCCAGGGTTTCTGGCATCTAAAGCACATGAAACCTCCCTGAAAGCTACTAGACCTTGTTTGTGCTCCAAACACTTGTCAAACAATTAAATCATGAATTGACAGTATTACATCAAAAGTATGCCTGAGACAGCTGCTAATTAATTATTCACTGCAAACACTCTTCAGCTTTTTTATATGTTGAAAATATTTATAATTAAAAGTTGAAAGAAGAGTACAACAAATACCCAGATATACAACATCAGTTTCAATTATTATAATTTTCCATACTGGCTTTATCTACATAGGTGTTTATCCATCTATGTTTTTACTTAACCATTTTAATATAAATTACAGGTGTATTTCTCCCCCAAATACTCAGTATGCATCTCCTAAGAATATAAATATTCTTCTATATAGCTACAGCATTTCTTATACTTACGAAAACTCAGATATTCCCCATTATCTAATATTCAGTTGATATTAAAAGTTTCTTAATTGTCTCCAGCTATTTTTCATAGCACTTTTTAATCTGAATCATGAGTTAAGGGTCACATAATACTTTGATTGTTAGTAATTACTAGGTTCTTTAAACTGTCTCTGTATTAGTAAACTCATCTGAAAGCCACATTTCTGATTTTTACTGTGACAAAATTAGCTTCACCATATTAAAAAATTGTAGTTACTAGATACTCATTGGTAAGTATAAGTCAGGACTATGCCATGGGCTTTGTAAATTTTACTCACATTCTATTGTTTAAAAAGCCAGGTTATATTTTGTCACTAGCATTCATAGAAGAATGTTAATTAAAAGTGCTTATCTTGAGTAAGTTCTATGTAATTCACAAACCTACAGTGAACATCATTTGCGATGTTTCTGTGTATACTTTATTTGAGCCAAACAAATATTTTATTTAGGTCCAGAGAAAATAAGCTTTATATGTCGCAAACAAGTATGCATCTGTTGATTCAACAAGAAGGATAACCCAGCTGCCAGGACCTTAGAACTAGGTTGTGTAACTAGTGAAAGTAAATGAATTCTGTGAAATGTATGCCCACTTGCTCCTTTTTATTTTTCTGGGGAAGGAAGTTAAATAACTCCAGTTGTATAAGCCATCCCAAATGTTTCCTGGAGATAGACTGAATATAATCTTGCTGATTAATCTCCTTTTGGTTGGCTGAGTTGAGGTTAATTTTTCTCCTTGACTCTTTCATATTTATTCTTAGAGAACCATGATAATTGATTTTAACATTTCAATGTTATTCTGAACTTCCATTAAATGAGTCCCCTTCCTTATTTTTAAATAGAACATAGGTACTAGTTTATTAAATAATATTGGATATCTCCTTATTCTTGCTTTGAATATTGAATACCTTCTTATTATATCAGTTGTGGGGAAACAATTATAGATTTATTTTTTGTTTTTCATCAGCTTTTTTCTATGTCTGACAAAGAAACCTCATTGCCTCACATGTCAAATGAAGCTCAACTTAAATTAGGCAAACAAGAAAGTAATAACCAATTATACTTTTTGGAAGTTTATTTAACTTACTGTTCTTTAAAACATGTTTTCTTTAGGCACTCGAAGACTCCAGCTTCCTAAAAAGAAGTGGCAGGGACAGTGGCTACGGTGACATCTGGTGTCCTGAACGTGGAGAATTTCTTGCTCCTCCAAGGCACCATAAGAGAGAAGATTCCTTTGAAAGCTTGGACTCTTTGGGTTCTAGGTCATTGACAAGCTGCTCCTCTGATATCACGTTGAGAGGGGGACGTGAAGGTGTGCTGTGCTTTTGGCTGTCAGTCTATTTGTTTACATATCAAGGGAGAACTGGGAATAGGACAGAGTAGAAAAACGGAGTGAAAACTAGGCAAAAATTTCACTTAGAAGTGGATTTTCATGGAGACGCAAGTATAATTGGGGGTTTTGTTGTTTTTTTCCTCCTTCATGGTGGTGATAGTTTCATTTTTGAAAAATTTCACTTCTGGAAAGTACTGTGGCCTTTTCATCAGTGGTAATCTATCCTAGCTCTTCTCTCTCCAGATTCAGGCTTAATAATCTGTGTTCATGAGTTCTATAAGCTGATATATCTGAACATAAAAAGCAATATAATATTCTGCAAAAAATAAAAAATGTCTCTTCTAGTTACTAATTTTAATCCTTGGCTTTTTTCAAAAGATTGAAAAAATTCTCTTAGGCAAAAACAAGAAAAATATTTTTACAATTATTTATATAGATGAGAAGAAATGATTGCTGTCTATCATGACAGAATATTATAAACTTTGTAGACTGAGTCATGTACCACCACTAACGTGCTGGTAGAAACCCTCCTTTGGTCCTTTCAGGGTCAGAGCTAACCCAAGACAGAGCAGGTGTGACAGGAACATGTTAGAGACATTCTGTTGTGGGAGAAAACCTTCTTTCAAAATCCCAAACTTATGGTCAGTTCAGTTATTTCAATGCACATCTGAATCCTGTGGCTGTTGGATATAGTGTCAGCCATTTCTCACTGCACATCTCCAGCTATTCAGATTTGACTAGATTGAAATCACAAAGGGTTTTCTTTTTTTTTTTTTTTAAATATTTCTGTGCTTCTGCCAACACCAAAGTGAACACATTGAGTTCTGGCTGTGAATTTATGCTTGATTGTTAGTGTATTCCAGATACATTGTGTATCTGGAATGTTACTTTTATATTTCTAGATATTTTTCCTAGTATATCTATTACAAAAATATCAAAAATCCACAAACTTAAAATAATTCTACAGTGAACACACATGTATTCACCGCCTAATTCTACCATGATGTTTTATTACGCATGCTTTATCTTAAACCTGTCTCTCTCTCTCCTTTCTCTCTCCTTCCCCCTCCCTATTTCGTTCTCTATTACAATTTAATCATCTAACTTTTTTGAGGCATTTCAGAGTATATCACACTTGTCCTGAATACTTCAGTATGCACATCATTAACTGTACTTTATTCTTTGTTTTACTTCTGATGTAAAACTTACATAAATACGACATACTAGGCATTTGTTTTCCAAAAAAAGTCAATCAACAATTTATTAAGCATGGTAACAAAAAACCTGAATTCTTCATCTTTCAGAGTAGTAGTAGTTTTTAAAAATGAAAAATAAAAAATGTGAAAGGCTATGTAAGCATTAATCTTTATATCACTGCCACATGTGTTGGCTATTTGCTGTCTAGGTGTGACATTTTCATAGCCCAGATGACGATTACGACATGTTTAAGGAAATGAATCTGAGTATGTGATTCATCTGAGTGGTTAGAGCTGTAAAAGCAGAGGCTTACATTCTGAACCTGCTGTATTTCTTTGTCCTGGCGGAAGAACCTACTCCATGTAATGATTGACTTTATATCTAGCTAAGGAATAGAAGGAGAACAGACAGAGGGTGTGTGGGAATATGCAGGCTTCAGTCAGTTCAGATGCAGTGGCCTGCCCAGAGGTTGGAGGCTAAGTCATCTTCTCAGATCCTTGTTGGGGTGGGCATCTGTACGTGTAACCAAAAGCAGAGGGCCACTGTCACATCCCTTCCTGGTCTTGGAAAAGGGCTGCAGACCCTGTTTAAAGAGTCCAGACGTGAAGTCTTGGCAATTACAACTAAGCAGGGAAAAGAATGGAGGCACCAGGATGATAAAGCTCTTTTGTGATCGGCATGTTAAAATTCTGCTGCTACCCTCTAGATGGTAGTCCTAAATTGACGAACGCTGTAAGTAGGATAATACTTTTAGGATGACAGAATTGCAATGTCACATTCTCTGGTTTTGTATGAAATATCAAGAATGATACTTTGGGGAAAAAAATCCTCTCCAGGGCACCATACTGGACCAAAAAAAAAAAAAAAGACTTTATCTTAAAAATTAAAAATAGGCTATTTGTGACTTAAAAATTCCACATGTATAGATTTTGGCAAGAGTCATTGGTATACGTATTGGAAATGAGAGATACATGTCTTATTTTTTAGAAGGTGTTAAAAAGAAAGCACCAGATTATTGACTACTACTCCTCATGATCATAGCTGTGTTTACTTTCTCTTTTGCTAAGACTTTACTCTCCTTTTACTCTGTCCCTGTCTTATAGCTGTATGTTAAGTGACTTCCTGTAGACCATTCTCAGTGTGATTTACTGTAGTTTCCTGCCAGGCTGGAGGGAGAAGAGACTGCCTTTAACTCAGATTAACCCTGCAGGTGCTCTACCTGCTGAGAGCTGGCAGCTGCCAGGCTCTGTGCACAGCCAGGCATGGAGAGAACCCTGGTGAGAAGTAACACTTCCAAACCTTGGCAAATGCACAGGAGGCAGGAAGAGAAGAAGGGCAAGAAGGAGAGAAAACTTGGCTTGGATCTGTAGTGTTGTTCTCTCCCCTTCTCTTCCTTTGTCTTTAAAAGAGATTTCTTCTTCTTCTTTTAAGAAAGCAGATTACTATTTGTATCTCTCTGACCTTGAGGGGTATTAAAGAGTATTCTTTTGAATTTGTGTTTAAATGATGTTGAATCATAATACAAGGTTCCCAGTGTAATTTCCATGGCCACTTAGAAGAAACTGTGAGTTCTGTGCTCTCATTTGGGCGTAAGAGTTGAGATTCCTTTGGAACTTAAGAAGTCATCCAGCTCAACCTCATAGTTAATGTGTGATTCCGGTTCATAAGATCTATCCAGACCCTTTGCAAGCCTGTTTTTTTTTTTGTTGTTGTTGTTCCTTCTCTTTCTACATTTTTCCTGATCTCTCCCCTCATATAAATTACAGATAGCTGCATGCCTTATTTTAAGTTACTGAGTTCCCCTAGAATTATTTTTGCATGTTGTTTTAAGTATCTTTGACTCCATTGCTAGATTTTATTTCTATGTATTACATCATCAAATCTTATGGAAAATCATGGAGGCAGATATTGAAGAAAAGGGGCTCACTAGTAAAATAGGACTTTTTCTGCTTAGAGCCTACAACAGCTAAAGAATGTACTGCATGTGCCTCCAGTATGCAAAGCAAGTTCCTCCTAATGGATCTTATCACAACTTCGTGACAAATTTCTAAAAATAATCCCTGCAGTTAGCAGTGGCAGCACTGGGTTTCTAAGGCAAAGACAAAGCAGGCGCACTGTGTGGGTTTCAGTTAGGCAAATAATCTGGAGAGTAAAGCTAATTCTTTTGCCTCCTTTATAGGTTTTGAAAGTGACACAGATTCTGAATTTACATTCAAGATGCAGGATTATAATAAAGATGATATGTCTTATCGAAGGATTTCGGCTGTTGAGCCAAAGACGGCGTTACCTTTCAATCGCTTTTTACCCAACAAAAGTAGACAGCCATCCTATGTACCAGCACCTCTGAGGAAGAAGAAGCCGGACAAACATGAGGATAACAGGAGAAGCTGGGCAAGCCCAGTTTATACAGAAGCAGATGGAACATTTTCAAGGTACTGAGATGGGATGTGATTTTTGAGTGTCATATGCTTTTTCAATGTGGTGGGATGTTAAATGTGGTAAAAAAGAATGGCTCTTAAATGTGTTTCCTAGATAATACATTAAGCTTAACTAGTGAGAATATTTTTCATCCCTCTATTTTTAGTTATACATATCTCAAAGCTATTTCTTCGGTTTTAGAATGTCAGCATATGATTTGCTGGGTCTTTTTTTAGATGCATGACTTCAGTTTATTGGTATTTTTCAGCTTACCAGATAATTTATTTTGTTTATGATGAACCCTGCCATGTCATGTTTTTCCTTTTTTGATTTATATTAGTGGACATGAAAAGAATCCTTTAATTTCTCAGCAAATTAGCAGAACCGAGTGTGGTTTTGCAAATCCAGCTTCCTATCACAGGGAGGCGTGCGGTTTTGAAAGTGGTTCGGACTCTGAGGATGAACGAAGGTTTCCTGATGTAGTTTTGGATGACTTAGCCAACCGTAGATTCCAAGTGAAAAAGAGGCCCCAGAGTTTCATCTCGAAAATCACCTCTCCTAACTCTTGTCTGCAAATATTTTCTCCTGCTGATGTGTTCGCCACTGGGCTATATGGACTGACGAGGTCAGAAACACTTGTCCTGGATCTGGCTGTCTATCATGCTTCTGATTTTAATTCAGAAAGTAACACCCCAAATCATTTGTAATGTACCTCTTTCTTTTAACACAGCTTCTAATGCAGTATCTTTAGCCCATGTGTATCTAGCTATCCTTGAATTAAAATGAGATGCTGTTATCATAACTTTGTCCTAGGAACTGTGGTGGTGACAGGAATGGAAACTAATTTGCTTTGTTCACAGTGGTGTGAACTTTGTGAGCCAGAAAGCATGTCGCTTGTGTTCTGTGTCACAAATGCTCATACAGTCTCTTAACCGGTTGGATGTTTTGAACAGTAATCAGAGGAGGACTTGGGGCACCAGTGTGGAGAACTGGCCAACTGTACACGGAACTTCAAAGTCCTCTTGTTACTTGGAAGAGGAAAAAGCAAAGACAAGGAGCATACCCAACATTGTAAAGGATGATCTTTATGTGCGCAAGCTAAGTCCAGTCATGCCAAACCCAGGGAATGCTTTTGATCAGTTTCTTCCCAAATGTTGGACCCCTGAAGATGTGAACTGGAAAAGAATAAAAAGGGAAACTTATAAGCCATGGTATAAGGAATTTCAGGGATTCAGGTTTGTCGTTGTGCATGTTTCTGTTACAGCAGTGTTCGTTGAATACCCCAGCTGGGGTTCTATGTGCATGGTTTTTTTTTTTATATATATATAAAAAAATAAGAGAGACCGAGAAAGTCTAATTAGTCCTCTAGCATCTACAGAACCTATATAATGGAAATGAATTTCTGTTTAAATTTAAACCTGAGGATCTGGATCTGAAAATGTCCTGTTCTATACATAGCCATCGCATGGCATAATTTTTAGTAGTTCTGCTTTTCTCCAATTCCTTGTCTCATTCCCTCCTCCCTTCTTTTCTCCATGTCACTCACAGTAAAAGGAATTCAGACTCTGAGGATGAGGACTCAGGTTCTGACAGAAGTGCCACCATTTTTAGTAGAGCACGAAAGGCAGAGCGTAGGCTAGACGGCAACTGCCCAAGACCTTCACTCTTGCTGGAATTAGCTACCAAACGGGCTGTAAAACCGCCGGACGCCCATGCAGCCAGGAGGAGCAGGAGTGCTTCGGATGAGCCCAGGTGCCCCTGTCTGTACGAGCCTGCCTGCTGGGGGTCTGGCCTCAGACTCCCCTCCGCTCGCTTCTGCTGCTCCATTAACCTGGGACCTGATTGCACTGAATCAGGAAACCTGACTCACTCAGTGGACTTAGTACAAAAGCATAATGTATAACACGCTGCTTTCTGTGCCACTATGTCAGCTTGGAAGTCTGTAGGATTCAACCGTTCTTCTTTAGCACAATAATGTGTGAGACAGGATATATTTACATGTGGCAGTTCTTTTGAGAAGCCAGTTCAAAAAGGCTTGTTAGAAAGTTTACCTAATTTTACAGTTGTGCTGTGTGTGGAGATGTGGAGAAAGGAAATAACTTTTAGGTAGAGACTGGGAAGGGTAAGTCTAGGGAAAATACAAAGGGAAGATTCCTTGAGCTCTTTTATAAAACTTCGGAGCAGTATATTTTCCCTTTTTCCGGCTGATTGTATGTACCTAATGCATAAAGTGCATGACGCCCAACTCATGAACTTTTAAAGATTATTCCTCTTGTTCAGAGGGAACTTAGGCCACTGTGGCAAATGGAATGAGAAAGGGGTACCAGGGGCCGGGCACAGTGGCTCATACCTGTAATCCCTGCGCTATTGGAGGCCAGGACAGGTGGATCACTTGAGAGGAGGAGTTTGAGACCAGCTTGGCTAAAATGGTGGAATATCATCTCTACTAAAAATAGAAAAATTAGCCAGCCATTGTAGGGTGCACCTGTAATTCCAGCTACTCGGAAGGCTGAGGGAGATCAATCACTTAAACCCAGGAGGCAGGAATTGCAGTGAGCTGAGATTGTGCAACTGCACTCCAGCCTCGGTGACAGAGTAAGACTCCATCTCAAAAAAAAAGGGGGTACCAGGGAGTGGCTCTCCTGGCTTAGTCCACTCTCCAGCCCCATCAGTGGCCTCTATGGTGCCCAGCTTTCCTGAGAAGTATAATCTGCTCTTATTTCTTTAGAGAGTATCCAGAAAAATCCTGGGTGTTGGATTAAATGCTAGTCTGTCTTCTTAGCAAGAGTCCCCCCAGTGATCCTCTAAAATAATTTATTCTCAGCAACTGGCTAGCTGGTCTGCTAATTACCTTTGGCTAGTCGATCTGTTAATTACCTTTTCTTCCTAAACTTAATAAGATTCTCTTTCCTTTTTCCTTTCTGTGCATCAGTCAGTTTTTACTGCTTCAGGCCCTCCAAACATACTCTGATGACATCTTGTCTTCTGAAACACATACCAAAATTGATCCCACTTCTGGCCCAAGGCTCATAACCCGCAGGAAGAATCTCTCTTATGAACCAGGCTATAGGAGAGATGACTTCGAGATGGCAGCCCTGGTTCCTGACTTAGAGAATGATGATTTCTTTGTCAGAAAGACTGGGGCTTTCCATGCAAATCCATATGTTCTCCGAGCTTTTGAAGACTTTAGAAGGTTCTCTGAGCAAGATGATTCTGTAGAACGAGATATAATTTTACAGTGCAGAGAAGGTGAACTTGTTCTTCCGGATTTGGAAAAAGATGATATGATTGTTCGCCGAATTCCAGCGCAGAAGAAAGAAGTGCCGCTGTCTGGGGCCCCAGACAGATATCACCCAGTCCCTTTCCCTGAACCGTGGACTCTTCCTCCAGAAATGCAAGCAAAATTTCTCTGTGTACTTGAAAGGACATGCCCATCCAAAGAAAAAAGTAATAGTTGTAGAATATTAGTTCCCTCCTATCGGCGGAAGAAAGATGACATGCTGACGCGTAAGATTCAGTCGTGGAAACTGGGAACCACGGTATCTCCCATCAGTTTCACCCCTGGCCCCTGCAGTGAGGCTGATATGCAGAGATGGGAGGCCATCCGGGAGGCCAGCAGACTTAGGCACAAGAAAAGGCTGATGGTGGAGAGGTCAGAGTGTGTTTCTGCAAGGATTTTGCTTGTAATGGATGGTCTTGTGTGACTTTTCTCGTGCGAGAAAGCAGCTCATCGTGTTGCTCAACTCTGCATGTCGCGTGCCATTTTGAAGCATCTCGTAAAATTTAATTTGCTTTAAAAAACCCTCAGTCGTTTTGTAGAATAAGTGCAATTCCATATTTGCATATCTCTAAATCACTTATTTAGGCCTGTTTAAGACTATATACACATAAAGGTTGCCTTTCACTTAAGCAGTACTGTGGTACTATTCAGCAATATGAAATTTCATCAATTGTTTTCCAACTTATATTTACAGACGTCTCATGTTCAGGCATTTCTGTAACAGTCTGGTTATAGTTTGGTTTGATGCGTTGCTCACATTTTGGAATGTCTGATTTTTGGTGGGGGAGAGTAAAATTTTCCCTTAAAATATGGCATTGCAAATTTCATCTAACTTAATTTTTGTTTTTGGCCTAGGTTTCTTGGACTATCAATTTGTAACATTTTTATTTATAAAGTTCAGTGCAAACTTTGACGTTAAAATGCATGGATGGTATTTGTTGTCTGCTGAATTTTATATGTATGTAATCATGGCCATTTTGATAGTTTATATTATGCAACTTGCCTTTTTGATGAATGTTCAGTTTGTTGAACCTAGGAAAGGACAAATCTAATTAGGTTGAATAAAATTAGAGGATCCAAATCTAATTTACCTGTCCTTTTCTTATGGATACATTAGCTGACAGTCAATTGAGGAAATTCTTCATTTTGCTTAATCTGAATTTCTTAAGATAGGAAATTGATGAGAACTTGAGATATGATTAAGAATGTGATAGAAGAAGTGACCTTTTGAGATTTGTCCATCTCCAATTAGATTGTTAAGTGAAAGACATTAAACGTTTATAAACTAATACAACTGGGAAAAATGACTTTTTAATTTTTGGTTTTCTGATTTCTTAGACTCTTTCAAAAGATTTATGGTGAGAATGGGTAAGTTATGTGGTTCACAGTAAAATGTCTGTGCATATTGTTTGTTCTTTGTTTAACTTACTGTATTTCTGGCATGGCGTGTCACTAAATGGGGATGCTGTGTGCTATGCATGAAATTTTTAAAATGGGAAATCTTTATTTTGCAACCTAATGGTAATGTTTCTGTGTCTCAGTGCCCAGTGCATGACAAAATAGTTTGTTTTGTTAGAAATTTAAAATTCAGCTCCACCCCTTTGTTTTTTTTCCTTTTTAAAAATTTAACGAGTTGATTAAAAGTAACAGAAACACTTGCCTAAGACAAGGTATATGTATTTTGGTATTTGATTGCTACATAGACTAAAATTCTGATTTGTGGATGCTAAAGCCCAAATGACAACATTTTAGAAAATCTGTGATAGAAAAAAAATATGAGCATTTACTTCAAGTTTAGAATATACACAGTTGACATTATCCATATAATCGGCCCCCTGGGAACTTTGTTAGTAGGGAAGCATTAATCTTCCCTCAGTGGTATTTGGAAGTATTATATTTTCAAGAGTCCTGATTAGGAAAAAAACAGTTATAACATAGCTATGTTTATAGTACAAAATTGGCCTTCAAAAATTGCAAAAAGCTTTGTAATTTCTTGTATCATTGTTGCAAAAACTACTTTTGTTGTTGTTGTTGTTTTTGGGATGAAGTCTCACTCTGTTGCCCAGACTGGAGTGCAGTGGCACAATCTTGACTCTCTGCAACCTCCACCTCCCAGGTTCAAGCAATTCTCCTGTCTCAGCTTCCCAAGTACCTGGGACTACAGTTGCATGCCACCACACTTGGCTAATTTTTGTATTTTTAGTAGAGACGGGGTTTCACAAAATTGGTCAACCTGGTCTTGAACTGCTGATCTCAGGTGATTCACCCACTGGGGACTCCCAAAGTGCTGGGATTACAGGCAAAAACTACATTTTTTAGATAAATCATTTATTCTTTCTTAGTACAAAATCACAAGGTGGCTATATCGTAATATTTTCCACCAAACTTTCTAATTTTGTGAATCTAAGAGCTAACAGTATTTGAGCAAGAGGAAGAGAGTTAAAGGATGACAAATATTTTAATCTGCTCAAGCCTCAGTAGCTAAGTATCTCCCCTTACAAGGATTTACTTCAGATATAAGAATCTCTAGTTTTGATAGCTTTTTATAGTTTTGGTAATTCAGAAATCTTGGAAGCTACTAAACGTGAAGCAGTATAACCATTCTAGATGTCAAAGATGTAACTGAGCCATAGGCAACAAATTGCAAGTACTTGTTAGACACTGATTTCTTTTCTTTTTTTTTGAGACAGAGCCTCATTCTGTGCCCAGGCTGGAGTGCAGTGGCGCAGTCTTGACACACTGCAACCTCCATCTTTTGGGTTCGAGCAATTCTCCTGCCTCAGCCTCCCAAGTAGCTACGATTACAGGCGTGTACCACCATGCCTGGCTAATTTTTGTATTTTTAGTACAGACAGGGTTTCATCATGTTGGTTAGGCTGGTCTCAAACTCCTGACCTCAAATAATCCACCCACCTCGGGCTCCTAAAGTGCGGAGATTATAGGCGTGAGCCACCATGCCCGGCCTAGCCACTGATTTTAAAAACCAGGGTCCCTGCATGCTTTCCATGTGCCTTACTAAGGCACATTATCCCCTATCCAGCTTATCTGCATGACGCTTAAGCATTTGCTACTCTCAAGTCATAGGAAAGCTGTTTTAACTTGATTAAAATCTCTTTGCAGCTTTAAGCATGTTAAATTGTAACTTTCAGAAGAATTTTCATTTGTAAATTAAATACAACTTTATAATGTAAGCAGCTGTCAAAAACAGTTGCTTTTCCTAAAGGGAATACACATACCCAGAGTACAAGTATGTAATGGGAATGTCAAAATGTACAACCATTTCGATGGCTGGATGTGTTCCCCTTAGTGAGGGTAAGTTATATAACTGAGTTAGAGAAGAAAAGAGAAATCTAAAACCAAAGCTTGAAAAGCTAAAGATTTTTCTGGATTAGAGCAGCAAATGTTTTCTAACCCAAGATAGTTGTTTGGATAGTACAATATTTGTTTTAAAGGCTGTTCTGCATGCAGTTTAATGCCAAGGTAATGACACAAATAAAGCAAGATTATCTGTAAATGGAGACTGAATAATGCATGACATGTCAAACAATGGAAAGCATTATGATATGAATGTGTCTTCAGAAAACGCAAAAAGGGTATGTGTATTCCCTTTAGGAAAAGCAACTATTTTTGACGGCTGCTTACATTATAAAGTTGTATTTAATTTACAAATGAAAATTCTTGTGAAAGTTACAATTTAACATGCTTACAGCTGCAAAGAGATTTTAATCAAGTTAAAACAGCTTTCCTATGAGTTGAGAGTAGCAAATGCTTAAGCGTCATTCAGATAAGCTGGATAGGGGATAATGTGTTTTGGAGCACTTGAAGTCAAATAAGTCAAATCTGTAACAAAGGATTTTTCTCTGCAGTCTTATCAGTTACCAGTGCTTTTTTTTTTTTTTTTTTTTTTTAAAGAGATAGAGTCTTGCTATGTTGCCCAGGCTGGTCTTGGGCTCCTGGGCCCAAGCATTCTTCCTGCCTTGACCTCCCAAAGTGTTAGGAGTACACATGTGGGCTGTCATGCCTGGCCTATTGGTGCTTTTCTTAAGTCGATCTGCTGCAATAAAAATAGAAATTTAAATTGGATTAAGTGTAGGCTTTTAATCTAGAACTTGTTTCATGTTTATACTGGGTGATATTTCTCTGAACATAATGTACATTGTCAAGCCTGGCATAGTTACCTGGAAAAGAATTATTGCTCAACATGCTGTCATTGAAAAATAATTGCCTGTAACATGAATGCTTTCTTTTTTTTGTAGGGACTGGGTTAAAGAGAAATGTGCAATATCTTTTGAAGTCTGCGACTGTTAATTTCTGGCTTGCTTTTTATTTAGCATTTAACATCTGTCAGTTTGTCTGTTTATGTTTAGTAAGATGCTTTGTATGTGGTTGTTATTTCTTGTGTGTGCTTTTGTCTTGCATGGTTTTATGTCTATAGGGTTTCATGAAACTTGAAAATCTGGGCATGTGTTTTGTCAGAGAAATTAATGACAAAATTTTTGTAAGGATATGTAGAAATAATCTTGTATGTGATTAAACTGTTGAGTCTGCTGCCAGTATTAATAGGAGATGAGCACTGATTCCATTTTTTCACTTAAGAGTTTAGCCAAAAGAGTCTGTAGAATTATAAAGCCATATGACAGCAAAAAAGAAGAGAAAAAAAAAGCCACTGTGAGTTATTTCTAAGGATTTCCCTCCATCCCCCCAGAGACATTTGGCAGTGTCTGGAGACATTTTTGATTGTCCCGCTGGGTGGGTGGGGTTGTGTGTGCTACTGGCAACTAGTGCCTTCGTAGCCAGTGATGCTGCTGAATGTCCTGCAGTACACGGGGAGTACTGTACAACAAAGAGTCTTCTGGCCCCAAAATGTCAACAGTGGTGCTGTTGAGGAACCCTCATTGAGACTCTAAATGAAAACATCTTCGTCACATTGCCTTTTTATTCTAGTGCATGGTAATTCCAAAGCCTCTTGCCCAAGTTTTAGCACTGATTGCTTTTCAGAGAATTCCTATAATACCTGAGGGAAATATACTTAGAGGTACATAAGGCAGTATATTCCTGTCTCCCTCTGAAAGTTGAGGATCCCTAACCTTAGTATCATGAAATTTCTGTTTGCTCTATGAGGCTATTCATGATTTTATATTTGAGAAAATATGCTGCATGCTGGTCCTTTTTGATCCCTTACTCCTCTATTACTCCTCTTACTCCTGGAATAAGTAGGGAGCCTAGGAGCCTAGTAGGCAATCCGCATAGTGGAAGAAGAGAGTAAGACTTTAGCGACCTTATTTTATGATTGACACCTTCTACCTTAAACTTCCCCTTTTTCCTCGGTTTCCTCCCAAATGCTATTTTTAAAAAATTCTGTTCAACAGAAAGGCAAGATGCTAGATGTGTATTTTTTGGAAAAAATTCAGTTGCAGTTCTAAATTGGAGCCCTTCCAAATAAGGAAATACAAATGAAGCAGGACTTGTCAGAGACATGTGGTTTGGCATCTAATCACCCTTCATTCAACAAAACATACTAGAGCTGTGCAGTCCTTCATGGTTTTCCCAAACAGTTTTTCTGATGCTATCTCTGGTGCTTATCTCAAATCTGTGAGGCTGACAGATAGGGATGTGGAGAGAGAGAAACAAATATTGCAGCTTTCCCAAGGACATGTGACTTGTGAGTGGTAGAACCGGACTAGGGCTTTGCCTCTGAGATAATTCACGTAGACTGCTTGGCGAGGTTGCTGGCACAGAGTAAGCCCTCAGAAGCTGAATATTATGCCATTAATGCTGATAAGGGAGGAAATAATTCTTTGTGATCTGGCTGAGAGACTCCTTCCTCTGCTCCAAAAGTTCTAGATTGTATCATTGTGGTCTGCAGGGACCTCTCTGATTTGAAACAGCTTGGACAGTTTGCTTGTGGGAGATCTCATGTAATCAGGTTGGCTTTAAAGAAAGAAAGTGATAGTTTAAAACATGCAACCCACACAGCCATATCCAGTTCTCATAATCCCTTCCTCCCTTAGCAGGTGAGAACCCGGGGCTCGGAAACGAACTGATGTGTGTTAGGTTGGGGTGAAAATGGGCACCATGGCTGGGCCTGCAGCCCTCCGCCTCCTGCCTTATTGTGGTGCCTGGCTCCAGCTGCTATCCGATGTGTGCAGCCTCAATGTGGGTAACTTCATGTACCCTGGGGAGTGAACTGTGCTCACATTCTGTCTTACACAGAGAATTGTCTACTTCAGAGTGTATTTGGTTCACTTTGCTCACATTAAGGACTGCCTGTGTGCCAGGCTCTGCTTCGTGTTGGGGGCACCCAGGAGGAGGATGCAGCCTCTGCCATTGAAAAAGACGTTTCACGGGAAGACACCTTAGCATTGCATGGTGCAGGAGGATTGGGGCCACGGGAGAGCACCCCTCGGAGATCCTGGGCCTTCTAGCCTTCCTCCCATCACAAGATTATTAAAGTATTCATTAGCATTCCTTTGTTTTTTTTTTTTTTTTTTTTTTTTTTTTGTGCTGGGGTTTGTGTAATCTCATGTGCTGAGTGTCTAGGTACCCTCATGCCTGCTTCTTGCAAAATTTGTCCCGCCTCTTCTTAGTGAGTCTGTCATAGTATTAGTTCAAATAGCCTCATTCTTCACAGTGTGTCTTATGTGAATTTATATTCTCAAATTCACACAAATCAGTTTTATAAGTAGTCATACCTAGTTAGATATATTACATTAATAGATCCATCTATATTCATATATGTCCTCATATATTCTCTCTGTGTAATTTATTTCTTCATAGTCCTTAATAAATGCTATGAAACTTTCTTCATAGAGCTGGGAATAGTCATAATAATCTTACAAAAAGAATTAGAAACATTTTAAGTATAGTAAATTTTACCTGATTAAATGTGAGAAAACCTACCTCATTCTTATCACAGACATTGAATGAGGATATCCTACACACCTTGTGCTGCTAATGTGTTTTCCTCGTAAGCAACACATGACTTGTGAGGAAGAGACTCCAAACTCACACGTGCGTACACACATGCACTGTACAAGACATAAGACTGAGGGTTTAGTACCATGAAAAAGGTGTAGCTGAAGCTGTAGAGGTGTTGAAAGGAGGGTTAGAGAAGCTTTGGTATAGAAGAGCTGGGAAGACTTCACCAAAGTGCTGAATATTATCTAGATCATTAATTTAACACGTGTAGCCAGCAGGTCTGGGCTCCCTTTCAGGTACAGGTGATGTACCAGCAGACAAATTAGAAAATTCCTGCTTTATAATCTTTCAGGGCAAGACAAGTGATATGTAAATAAATGTGCATTTCTGATGGCCAGAAATGGACAAAGGACAGGTGAGGTCAGGGGAGAAGAGCATTGATTATTTCTGGTAAGGTGGTCAGAGAAGGAAACACAGAGGGCACATTTAAGCAGGTACCTGGAAGTGAGAGAGAAGCAATGTGGATATCTGGGTGAAGAGCATTCCAGGAAGACTGAAGAGCAGGGAGAAAAGCAGGAGGTGTAAACAGGGCAGGGAGACCAGCTGGCTGGAGCAGAGGGAGTGGGAGCATAGTGCTAATGAGCACAGAGAGGGAGGTAAGAACTAGGGATGGCGGACCTCTGAAGTTGTGGAAGAACCTGCCTTTAATTTAGTGAAATGGGAAGAAAGGAGTGGGTATAGAAAGGAGTGAGTAGAGGTATACCATGATCTGAGTACAGTCAGAAAGGACCTCTCTGGCTGCTGTCGGGTAGGAAGGGGTGGGTGATGTGATGTGATTTTTATAATAATTGTAATAATCCAGGTAGGAGGTGATATGATAATTGTTATAATCCAGGTAGCAGATATGATGTGATTATTGTAATAATTGTAATCATCCAGGTAGGAGACACTTGGATCAGGGTGGAGTGGTGGAAGTGGTAAGACGTGGTTGTGTTCTGGATATATTTAGAAGGCAAAGGGACAGGACTTCCCGATGGGACTAGTCATGGTGTATGAGAGAAAGAGGAGAATCTGGGATGACTCCAAGATGTGGGACCTAATGTTGGGAAGGATAGAGGTGACCTTTACTGATATCAGGAAAGGGAAAAATGAGCAGGTTGTGAAGGGGACAATCAGGTTTTCTATCTGTGATAAACTTGAGATGCCTATTAGACTTCCAAGTGGAGAATGAATAGAAGTTGGATATACCTGTCTGGGGTCCGATGAGTGAATGGCATTTAAGAAGTTATGTATACTGGTAAAGGGCTTTTGAATCAGAGGGAATAGTTCAGGAAAGATTTTCGTTGAAACTGGAGGTCGGGTATTAATTTAAGAAGCCATTTTGGAAGTCTAGGTGAGTTGACTGTACTCTGATCTAGCATGTTGGCAATAGAGATGGAAAGAAAGAGACACTGAATTAAAGGACTTGATAACTAATGGAAAGTGGGGAGAAGAGAGAACGCTGAAAAGTGGTTCTTAGGTTTCAGATGTGGAAGACTAGAGGGCAGGTAGCAACATTAGTAATCATAAGAGGAAAAGCAAGTTTGGGGACAAGATTGAATTTGGTCACATCAACAATAACCATGCATTTAGTGAGTTACAGTTTACAAAATCCCTTGTAGATATTATTTTAATTAGTCCTTTGACAATTGAAATGCCTAGGGGATATCTTTGCAAAATTATTCATTCAAGGAGCAATTGGACATGAGTCAAAGGAAGGACTGGTTCCTTAACTATGGAATTGGGAATCGCTTGGAAGTTTTAACTCCATGAGCTAGCTACGCTAGGAATTCCTAAACTAGCTAAGAACAAACGTGCTTTAAAATAAATAATGATGGCAACTTCTTGGAAGGCAAAATTTAGATGCCCAGGCAGGAGATGTACAGTTACTTAAATAAAGTCAGGAGTGCAGTATAAAAGATCAGTAGGAAAGAGCTTCAAAGCCTCTTTCATTCCTACTTGCTCCTCAGTATTTAGATCTGACCTCTCCCTCTCCTTGAGACCACCCTCAGTCTCTCTTTGCCGTCTGGTAGAGTTTACCTGGCTCTTTTATGTGCATGTAGAGAGCACACATGTGCCTGTGCCCAATGCCCCACTCTGTTTATTGGTTTCTACTGTGGACCGAGCTCTCCCAAAGCTTAACCTCCATCCATCCTTGTGTTACAAGTTGAATGCATGCAAGCTGCCCTCATAAAAGGAGAGGGTTATAGAGGGAGTTACAAAGGGCTTTTAGAAACTACCTGTGGTGCTTTGAGAACAAGTCTAGTGCTGTGGTAGGGCAGCTCTTATAGAATCTTTTAGAAGCAGCAGCACATTTATTCATGGTATTGAACTTGAGGAGAAAAATATCAGGTAAACATTAAATTATTGATAAGTGCCCAGAAAAGGCAGCCAAACCTCAAGAGATTATCTGTGAGGGAGACAGAAAATAAAAAGAGGTGATTCTAGTGACTATTTTTTTCCCTAAAGTAATCCCTTTATGCATTGACCTCTTTAAATATAAACCTTGGGTTATTTTTTTTGTCAGACTCATATAGGGCTAATCTTGCCATTTTGTGAAAAAATTCACACTCGAGTGCTAGGTTCTTGTTTCTGAGTTTTGGAAAAACACCATCTATCTCTGTAGTGCTACTTTTGTGACACTATCACTGAAACGTCTAGGTAGAAATTTAGGTGGAATTTCCAAATGTAAGTCCAACCTCAGTTTAACCCCTAAGTCTGGTCATGTGAACTTCCATAGTAACCATGAGTGTTTTTATTGTAGGAGTAAGTCCATGAGTGATGTCAGCGCAGAGGATGTTCAAAACTTGCGTCAGCTTCGTTACGAGGAGATGCAGAAATTAAAATCACAATTAAAAGAACAAGATCAGAAATGGCAGGATGTGAGTATTTGGGGGATTGGGAGCAGGGAGAGTGTATTTGTTTTACTATTCTTTGCTTTTCTCAAAGTCAGCATACTCAAGACCATTTTCCTTGCTATTATAGAATTCGGTTCTGTATAAAATGTGACCAACTTGATTTACAAAGATTTTTAAACCTTTTTTTCCTATTATTGTTGCATATTTTAAAGGCCATTGTGAAAAATATACCTGAATGTTTATTTTCTAATATTCCCTGAGTTCTCAAAACTGTGAGTTGCTTCCTTGCAGTATAGTGAATTTGTCCACTTGTTTATGTGGTTGAATTTGGGATATGCACATTGAGCATACTTCTGATGGGAAAGACCCGGCCAAAGTTTTGGGAGAGAAGAGAAACAGAGCTCTGGCTGAGATCTTGGCATCAGTAAGGAGAGATGAAAAGGGTTAGGAATTAAGAGTTAATTAAGGGGATTTGGGGAGAAATAAGTAATAGAACTCAGAGAAATATTTTGGCTGTAGAAGTCATTAATAATGTGAATTAAAATGAAATGTTTTTGCAGAATTGACATATATCCAGGTGTTTATATAGATACAGACTTAATCTTCAGTTTTGATCCTGAAGAAAAAAGCTTGACCGTTTATTTGAATAAAGTAATTGTGAAAAACAGAAGAAATGCAAAGAAATACAGTAGACAAACGATCAGAGCAAACCCACAGGAATTTGAGAACGACTTTACGGTGGGAGTTGAGTGATAGCATGAACACAGGCGTCAGACTGAATCTTAATTTTCAAAGGAATTAACAGTCTCTGAGATGAAGAAACCCCTGCCCTGCCTACCTTTCTAAATTCCGGTGCCTCTTTTGATTGGGAACTCAATTTAATTGTCAAGAAACAGTAGTTTAGTATCACTTTGCCAAAATACATGGTGGCTTTTCTGGTATGAAATTAAGTATTAAGGGCTTATCTGTTAGGTTAAATCAGATAAAAATTCATGGCAGTTATGCTATAGGACTGAATGTGCATTGCTTTTGTTCTTTCTGAACTTTTTCAAGTTCATATTGGTCTCAGGCTGTTTTTAAGGCAGCAGTGGCTCTGTGGGCTGGCAAGGGGTATAAACCAAACTGACTTTGCATGCCCTGGGGGTGAAGTTGGGTTTTGTCTGAGAGCTTGAATGTGCTTCAGTTTGGACTGGAATGCCACTAACAGTTCTTTTCATGGCGTTTCTCTATTTTGGAGACATGGAAAATTTTATACCTTGCAAAATGTCTTAACCCCCTGGGTGTCAGAACCAGCCTAGGTTTCTGGGGGGAAGTGAAAAGCTGAATGAGGATGACTGTCCCTGGGGTCACCCAGCAAGGGTAGACTTAATGTTCCTGGGGATATGGGAGACAGGTGTTGGTTTGTTCTCACCACGTGTTCCTTATTACTCTCACCTAGGTGGACTTGACCCTTCTGAAATCCTGTATTCAGGTCTCTCCTTCCCAGTTAAAGCCTCTCCACAGCTTCCCCTTCCAGAGGTAGAACCGGCTCCATGGTCTCCCTAGGACCCCACTCTCTCACGCAATCCTGTCACAATTGTTCCTGAACTTTTATTTAGATGTCTGTCTCTCCCCTGTAAACTGAGAGTTTCTTGAGGGGAACCACACCTTATGCATGTATGTATTAATAGTTCCTACACTTGGGCCTGTCTCAAAGTAGGGATTGAGCTCTGTTCGTTAAATGAAAGACAGACTGCATCTGCGCCTAACCATCACAGTCGCGTTTCTGTTTCAGTCTTACCAGTGAAACACGTTTCACATAACAGCCAGGTTTTTGGAGTGAGATGAAAACGAATTTGAAACAGTTCTTGATCTAATTACAAGCATTTAGCATTCTTTGTGAAGTGTGCAATGAGGCAGATACTTTCTGGGAAAATAAAAATGGGGTCCATCTTATTAGGTCAGGTTTTTCCACACAGACACAGATAAAGGCTTAGTACAGAAACACTGGCTATAAAAAGCAGAATTAGGGCACCTTGGCATCCAGTTGGAGTGAATACTTTCAGTGATGTAATAAGATACTCTGGCACATTCTCGGTGCTAGAAATGGTGTGTAGAAATTCAGGTGTGCCCCTGCTGATGTGATTTTTCTGTCAGGACCTTGCAAAATGGAAAGATCGTCGAAAAAGTTACACTTCAGATCTGCAGAAGAAAAAAGAAGAGAGGGAAGAAATTGAAAAGCAGGCACTTGAGAAGTCTGAGAGAAGCTCTAAGACGTTTAAGGAAATGCTCCAGGACAGGTAATAATGCCGAATGCACCTTGGTTGTAACAGGGGTGGGATGCCAGGCTTATAAATAGGTGTTTTGTATAAGTGTAGTGTGACATAAGTGTCCTCCAATACTCAACTTTAATCAAATATGCAAAGAAACGTTCCAGATTTTGGTCTGCAGTGAAAAAACAAAGCATTGTTGAAATAGTGACTTAGAGTAACAAAATAAGTTCAGTATTTCTTCTCTTACATTGTGCGTTCACACGCAGAATTGGACGGCGTTGGCTATGTTTGGTGCAGGAAATACACTACATTTTACTCTTAAGCGAATTAAGGAATGAGATGGTCCAATAAAACCAGCTCTTTTAACTAAATTGTGTAAAATATAACAAAGTTCTTTTTCATGCTTAATGGTACAATTCATTATATTTTAAAGAAAGTTTTTATAAATGTGTGTGTTGTATTCTTTGCTTTGTAACATAACAGTATAAAGGTCAAATTGAAACTTTCCTGTAAAGCATTCGTTACTGTATGAAACATTAGAGTATTTACAGGTCAAGGAGAAGGAAAATATGCTTTTAGAATAATGTCAGAAAGGAAATACGCTGTCAGATGAAATGAAACAAGGCTGCTTTCTGCCCTGAAAGCCAATGATAAGCACAGTTTTGTTCACTTAAATGCAATTCAGTTAGGTTGGAAGGTAGGTATTCCTTTCTAAATGTGAGAGATGAGGGTGTTTTGTAAACCATTCTGTAAATATGAATGGTGACTTTTAATCCCTAATAATTGTTCATACAAGTTCTGTCAAGCTATATTAAATCATACACTAGTTTGATCTTCACAAAAGCATGAATCTTTTGTAATCTTTTATTTTTATTTAATTATTGGATATTTTTCCAGGTAAAAATCCTCACAGGGCTGTCAATTAATCTACAACTTTGGAAGGTTCAAATTGGTTATCAATCATGATATTTATAGTGTTTTAATTTTGAAAGTTATAAACTTGTGGATACAATTTTGTGAATAATCTCTTACTAAAATTTCCTTGTTTCATTATTAAAATCTCTTTACAATTAAAAAGTATATATCTGAGTGAAGTATTTGAGAATTATTTTAATTAAAGAAGTCAAGTTCTTATTCTTTCTTGGTTGGGACATTAGGATAATTACATACATCTTGCTGGGCAGGGTGGCTCACACCTGAAACCCTACTTTGAGAGGCTGAGACAGGCAGATCACAAGGTCAGGAGTTCAAGACTAGCATGGCCAATATAGTGAAACCCTGTCTTTACTAAAAACATAAAACAATCAGCCAGGTGTGGTGGTGCATGCCTGTAATCCCAGCTACTCGGGAGGCTGAGGCAGGAGAATTGCTTGAACCCTGGTGGCAGAGGTTGTAGTGAACTGAGACCTCACCATTGCACTCCAGCCTAGGTGACAGAGCGAGACTCCATCTCAAAGAAGAAAAAAAGATAATTGCATCTTTATGCTCTGTAAGTGTTGCATTGATTCTTGTGTGAAGTTAACAGCTTTTTATTCCCAGTCCATTTTGTGTGTTGATTACTCTCTCTCCACCTCTCTGAGTCAAATGTGTATCTTTGTGGTGATGGTGCATTTCTTTCTGCTAAGGGAATCCCAAAATCAAAAGTCTACAGTTTCATCGAGGAGGAGAATGTATTCTTTTGATGATGTGCTGGATGAGGAAGAGCGACCCCCCACACTGACGATGTCAGAAGCAAGTTACCAAAGTGAGATAGTAGAAGAGAAGGGAACAACTTATCCTTCAGAAATTCCTAAAGAAGATACTGCCATTTTTGCAAAAAGAGGGGACAGTGTAACTACTGACATTCAGCTTCCTTCTCAAAGTCCCATGGAGGAACAATGTCCAGCCTCTTTGTCTTCTCTGCGTTCACTGAGCACACAAATGGAGTTGACTCGTGTTTCAGCTTCTCTCCCCAGAATTTACCAGAAAACTGATCCAGCCAGGTTAACATCTGTGGTCACACCAAGACCTTTTGGCTCTCAGACAAGGGGAATCTCATCACTCCCCAGATCTTACACGGTAAAAAAAATGTTCTCAGTTCATTTAGTTTGTTCTGAAGAGCAAAATGTTGGTGAACTTGTGCAGAGGTTGGGGTTATATCAACTTGATGTGTAAACTGTACATAACATATATAAGGAAATTTTATTTTATGCCAATTCAATGCATTCAATGCAAATTTAACACAAGATACAGCAATGATACAGAATTTATTAAACTTTCAATTCTGTGAAAATAGGGCTGATACATTTTAAGTAATGAATAAGATATATTCTAAGGCAGAGTATTATTTTATAATGTCATATTTTTAGATGTACTTTTTGTAAATTATTAGGTTGAAAAGTATGAAGTTATTAGTATGATTGTTCTTCTGGACCTACAGAACAGCAATTTCATGTGGTTTAGCCTAGATATTTTCAGGTGCTTATGTACAAATTTCTGCTTTTTTTAGATTTCTTACTTCATCAGAACATGATATGTTTGAATATAATGATTAGAATCATCTTATTGTTTATATACTTGTATTGCCATTAATATCAGGATTTTGAAGATATTGAATATTGAAGCATTTTTCCGGAGAATAAAGTGTTGCCATATCTGACAATGAATGTGTTAATCTGAATTATGCAAAAGGCAGCAACACAGTCCTATGATTAATGTTCAGATTTTTTTTTTTTTAGCTCTGCTAATGTACAATCCTAAACTCTAAAAGAGTATAAAAAATTGAGTATTTGGGGTGAGAGAAGCCAGGCTAACTGGGAAACTCCTGAACGTAGAATTTCATGGCAGACCCCTTTTACATAGTCAAAAGACTATATATGTATAGACTCAGACAAATAATACCAAAATGTGTTATAGGTAAAGGGTAGATATCCCTAAGATGGAAAATGTTTCCACAAATGGGTAAGGAAAAGCACTAGAAAAGTGAATATAGAAAAGTAGTGGCCATTTCAAGAGAGAGGGGATTCAAATGGATGGTAACAAAGCACACAGAAGTATGTTCAGCATCCCTGGAGCAAAAATGAGGCATATAACTTTTTACCCATCAGAGTCATATAGACTTAAAACATTGAAAATGTCTAGCGTTGGCAAGGATGCTGAGAAACAGATGTTCTCATACATTACTTTGGGAGTGTATTGCTACAATTATTTTTAGAAACTATATATATATAAAACTTTTGTTCCAGCAAGCCTACTTTTGGAAATCTGTGCTATAAAAAATGAAAGTTCCAATTATAAAGAGAGATGGATATTTGTTGTAGTATTTTTGGAAGTGACAGAACATTTTAAGCAACTTTAAATGCACATCAAATGAATACATTGTTGATGTCCATACTACCGAGTATTCAGCAAGTAAAGGGACTGATTAGAGTTTATCTGTTGACCTGGAGTGGATCAACAGAACACTCAGGCTGGGATAGCATTAGGAGAAATACCTAATGTAGATGTTGGGGTGATGGGTGTAGCAAACCACCAAGGCATGTGTATACCTGTGTAACAAACCTGCACATTCTGCACATGTACCACAGAACTTAAAGTGTGCAAAGTGTGTACACACACACACACACACACACACCATCGTCATGATCATCATCATGATCATCATCGAGACCTTTTAGCCCTCAGTCAAGGAGAATCTCACCATTCCCCAGTTCTTACATGGTAAAAAATGGTCTCAGTTCATTTAGTCTGTTCTGCAAAATGTTGGTGAACTTGTACAGAGGTTGGAGTTACACCATCTTGTTGTGTAAACTGCACATAACACACACACACACACACACACACACACACACACACACACACACATATGGCAATTTTATTTTATGCCAGTTTAGATTCAGTGGAAATTTAGTGCTTAAGATGTTTGCTTGGAGTAAACAAGCAAAGCAAATTTCAGAAGTTTGTATGTGATATGAATGCTTTTGCTAAAACAATTTCCCCTACTACATGTGTGTTTATCTATTAGTGTGAAATAACTCAGTCCAAGCTTTTAATAATAGTTATGTTACTGTGGGAGGTATGTTATTTTACTTTTAAAATATTAATTTAATAATTAACTTTTAGAAACAGAAATAAAGGTAACAGAATATGAAGTTTAAAGTGATTTTTTCTTATTTAGATGGATGATGCTTGGAAGTATAATGGAGATGTCGAAGACATTAAGAGAACTCAAAACAGTGTGGTCAGCACCCCTGCACCAAACCTGGACGCAAGCCAACTGGCTTCAAGCTCATCTAGCCGGAAAGAGGTAGCTGCAACAGAAGAAGATGTGACGAGGCTGCCCTCTCCCACATCCCCCTTCTCATCTCTTTCCCAAGACCAGGCTGCCACTTCTAAAGCCACATTGTCTTCCACCTCTGGCCTTGATTTAATGTCTGAATCTGGAGAAGGGGAAAACTCCCCCCAAAGGGAAGTCTCAACAACCCAGGTGAGTTTGGGAAAGTTCTTTATCGTCTGTGGCTCAGACATGCATTTAAATCTGGAAGCTTGTCTCAAACCTCAAACCTCTACGTGTTAATCTGGGCTAAAAATGTGAAAAAGGTTATAATGGTTTACTTTGAACAGATCTTGGTGGAAGTCTGTCTCTTTCAACTCTGATCCAGATAACACTTGTGAAATGAGTCTACGGAGACTTTGTGCACCAGTCTCCTTGGGATTTGGCTGGTGTTTTCTCTGTATTCCACATTTCAGTAGTTGTGGCCTTATACTGCTAGTGCCCTGTAGTCCCAGGTTTCAGGTACAGTTGTCACTTTACAGGTTTTAGATGCAGGTCTGGATGTGCCTCATTCTTGCCCCAGGGAAGCTGAACATGAGTCTGCGCGCTCTGGGTGTCTTTGGGTGACAGAAGCCCTTTCCCAGGGAACTTAACAGGCCACAAGGAAAAATTGATGTACGTGATAGGTGCTGGCTTCCAGGGACGTGGCATTTCTTTTTTGATTATTTTAATCTTCTAGTGACTTTTAATATTATTTCATACTTTAGAACATCTATAATTTTTGATGGCTTCTTGTCTCTTAATGGGACTATCAAGGCTTGTTATAATATGACAATTGTATCCCACAACATTTGGAGCCCAAACAAAATATACTATCAGGTGAAGAATGACTGGGGATGTGTGTGGTTTTTCCTAGTTAAAATTCTACTAGATGACTTCTTAGAGAATGATTAGTTAATAAATGTCCTTTGTAGCCTACCTGTAAAACATACTGAACAGAAAGCTCTTTCTTAGAAAAAATCTTACTAAGCAATTTGATAGCTGAATGAACCCCTTAGCATGGAGGAGCTTTTGTGGTTATTTGGCTTGCTTTAGTATTCCCTGTTGCCCTGCAAAACATAAAAGAGAGAGAGAGAGAGAGAGAGAGAGAGAGAGAGAGAGAGAGAGAGAGTGTGTGTGTGTGTGTGTGTGTACACACACACATATGTATATGACTTGTCCTAAGTTATATTAATGAAATGATGTGAAATTATTTGGCATTTCATATTTTTTATTATTGAGTTTTTATTTGTGTGGGAAAACTTAAGAAATTTAAACTTTCTTTTCTAGTTATAAGGTACTATGTACTTTAGACAATTTGGAAATGCAGGAAAGTATAAATAATTTAAATTGCTGATGATTCCATCATTTAGAGGTAATTGTTAACATCTGGGTATATTTCTTTTGCTTTTTCGCTTGCATATTTACAGGCATATATCTCAAAACAATTTCTTCATCTTGCCGAAATAATGAGTTGCAAATTATCATTACATGTTGAAGGAATTGCAAATATATAATTAACATCCTCAGTCTCAGTTGAGAACAATAGCCTATGCTATGTTATGCGTGGGGAACACAAGGTACCAGTGAATGAATAATAAAAGCAGAAGCAAAGTGTCATTTGTTTCATGGATTCGTATATTTGCCTTTACCTTTTTCAAACAGTAAATCCAACAAAGCAGCCTGAATTAGGCGCTGCACGCTGGGTGTCAGTACTGCCTTCAGGGTGGTGGCTGACTAACTGCACTGTGGATTAAGGAACAGAGGCTAAGTGTGGTGTGTGGGTGTGTCTCAGGTAATTGCAATTCAGAGGAGCTTCAATTAATGTGGCACTGTTTGAGCTTTCATCATTAATGGATTTATACTTCTTTGTTCCCCAACTTGAGATGGTATTCCACCAAGAAAAATTAGGACTGATGACAGTGGAAGCCATTGGAATTCTTTAACATAGACATAATTCATGTGGTGACTTACCAATCTCTGATGCTTGGTGTGTCCATTTCTGTGCCTCTAGGACCGTAGCTTCTATACCACCCCACTGCCTTTGTCTCAGAAGGAGCTTACCGCCTTGAGAGAAGTGTGTAAATGTGTATGAAAGCTGAGCAATATGTAGAGGGCCTGTGCAGCGCTCCTCCAGACTTCATTCAGGCACTGTAACTCTAGGTGTTCAGAGGATAGCAGAATCAAGAGCAGCATGTGGCTGACCATCTGAATGTTTTGGTAGGCTTGTAAAAGAATGTTCTTCAGGTCATTTTTCTCTTCCATACCTTGAGCTTTTGCTGGCACTGTCTTTTCATTCTTCCTCCAAACTCCCCCTATGTTATTCTTTTCTTTTCTTTTTTGAGGCAGGGTCTTGCTCTGTTGCCAGGCTGTAGTGCAGTGTACTTAAGCAATCCTCCCACCTTAGCCTCCTGAGTAGCAGGGACTGCAGGCACATGTCAACACGCCTGGCTAATTTTTGTATTTTTTTGTAGAGATGGGCTTTCACCATGTTGCCCAGGCTGCTGTCGAACTCCTGGGCTCAAAGGATCCATTCATCTTGGCCTCCAAAAGTGCTGGGATTACAGATATGAGCCACCATGCCCAGCTGATGTTATTATCTTTTCTATCCTGGCTTCTACTATGCTAATTCAGGCCCTTTTCCTATCTGTGCACATAGTCACAGGTGTTAGTGTGTACTACACAAGACTGGCATCAGATTAACTTGATGCCAGGTTGGACTCAGTAATTTCTCTGCTCCAAAGCCTCTAGTGGCACTGTGTGGTTGGCTGAAAGAACTTTGTAGTGCTCAGGGAAGCACTGATATCTCTCACTCCCTTTGTAGCGCAGTCAGAGCTGATGTTAGCATGCTTATTATGTGCCAACCAGGCTTCTCAGGGAGGTATCTTAGTTAATCCTCACATTAGCCCTGTGAAGTAAGCCACAATCCGAATGTGGACTATCATGATTATCCCTATTTTATAAAAATTGAGGCATGGCATGGGCATGTTACTTGTTTAAGGCTGTGCAGGGTATCAGGTGGAGTCAGGATTTGAACCCAGACAGTCTGACTCAAGATCTTTTATCACGTTATGCTATCATGCTTTGTCCTGGGAAAGAGAGGTGATTCACCTGCATACGGCTGCTTGCTTTTTCTTGGATACACCCTGTACTTTCGGGAGCTCATCATTGCTCCCCCATTTGAAGATGCTTATTTCGCACATCTCTGCCTTTTGAAGTCCTACTGTTCCTCAAAAGCCCAGAAAGACCACTTCCTTCATGAAACAAGTTATCACCCCTCCCCCACTGGAATCAAACTTCGTACCCTTGAAAAGTTTCACTCACTGAATTCGTCCTTGTCCCATACAGTTACGTGTTCCTCCTTCACTGATATTCTTTGTACATTCTTACATATAATTGGCACTTAAGCTTTACTGACTTGAACTGTATTCAATGCCTTGATTACTAGGCTGAAGTATGAACTTGATCAGGCAGGTGACTTCGAGTCCTTATTGGTTCTTTAGTGTGGGCACTTGAAGATTAAGCGTTGTTTCAGGAATGTAAGCACTATGGTGTTCCCTAAACTTATTTTAGGAAAGCCAAGTCTGGAAGCAGAGACTAGTTAATAGCCTCTCAGAATTGCGCTAATAAGGTGGCATGTGCCATAAAGTAGAAAAATCGTAATGAAGGAAAGAACTTAATATGGTCTTATTTAAAATCTGCCCATAGGAATTTCCTTTTCATCCTCATAGCTGAGCTGTGGCTTTTGTCCTTCTCTCTCCGTTTTGCCTCCTTTCTTCTCTTGTAGTTTTGCTTTTTTCTCTACCGTTCTTGCCAGTCACGGCTGCCAAGCTCATTCTGGAGGTGAACCAAGGCAAAGGAGAGGGAGTGTGACTCCTGGAGTCTTCACCCACCTCCACATGCAGATTTGGTTTTCCTGATTCTCCCCAAAGTTGATCTTGCCTACAGGTTTCTGTTTTTTTTTCTCTGTCCTTTCAGAGCTCTAGGTGTTCAAATCCTCTACAAATCCACTTTCCAGAAACTCTGCTCCAGATTTTTTAAAGCAGTAACCCCTAAATGGGATGACACATATGGAAGGAAGGAACCTTTCTGCATGTCCATTTCCTGATCTCAGCCCCACACTTAGTGACCCTTTGGATATAGCTGCGCTTTTGCTTGCTTCTCGCCTTCACCAGAACCTGCTCTCCTTGAGGGTGGAACACGAGCCTCCCTTCCTCCTTGTCAGTGCAGTGCCTGGATCTGTACATGTTCGCTGAATGCTGATCGAATTTTCTTGGCTTTAGAGCTAAGTATTTGAGAATTAAATGGGATTTTCTTTAATTGATCTGAAAACTGCTTAGCCAGCATGGGTATTATGTTTAACATTTGCTTCCCTGGGAAAAAGAAGGCAATTACTGGGCATCAGTCATGTGTGCCTTGACACCTTTTAAATGTTTCATTTAATTGTCTCAATAACCCTGCAAAGTAGGTGTATTAGCCCCATTTTTACCAACAAAATACTTGATATTTGAAAGTTATATAACTTGCCCCAGGCTGGTGAAATGCCTTGGCCACAGCTGCGATTTATCTGATGTGAAAGTTTTTTGAAATATGACAGACTCATGTTTGAGGACTGCCTTATGTATAGTTAAGAGAACACATGTTGACTTATTTGGACTTTGCTGTGTCTTTAGGATTTTAGAGCCACTGGGGGCTGAAATGTCTTTTTGTCTATAAAGATAAAATTGTCCTTGAAATCATTTTGAGGAAAGGTGCTATTATATGTTTATTGAAATTTACCAGAACTAAAATGTAGAGTTCGAAATCTTCCAAGCAGGGCAGTAAGGAGCTACCAGCAATTTAAAAACAGAGTGTGATATAATAGCATGTTCTATAACTAAAGTTCTGGCAGCTTTGTGGACAATGAACAAAATAAGGGCAGGAGGCAAGAGAGCCAGTTAGCTGGGGTAACCATAGGAGTTTAGAGGAGACAATGGCCTGAGCTAAGATGATAACCCAAAGGAGGGTGGTAAAGTGGGGATGATTCAAGATGAATTATGGACTTGATAGAACTTTGTAAAATATAAGTGTGTATGGTGGAGAGTAGGGGTACAGGGATTGTGTTTTTTTGAGTGGGGAACAGTTAGAGGAAGGAAGAAGAAAGAGGTCCAGAAAGAAACCAGTGTTTCTAACTTGGGCATCTGACGAGCTATTGATATAATTAACCAAAATATGTAAAACAAGAGGTAGAAGAACAGGTTTGGGAGGAAGATAATGAATTTAATTTTCAAATTGTTGGACTTGGACATTGGAGGTTGCTCAGAAAAGCCTGTAGTCAGGGAGGTTGGAGACTGACTAAGGAACAAACAACACAATGAAAAGAGAAGAGAGAAAAAGGAACATGCTCATGAAACTGAGTGGCAAGAGACATAGGAAAGAAGGCTGGAGAAATGGAGATAATAGGTGACTTTAGAAGATTGTTTCCCAGAAAGCGAGAATAGTGGGCAGTGCCTGGAGGGATGAAAGCTCAAGATGCATTTGGTAGGTGGAAGATAATCTTGAATGGGATGAGGACAGTGATGGATGTATTATAGAAACACCACCTGCTGCAGTGGAATGAAGGATTTAGAGAGAAAGACCAAGATTTGAGGGCTATTCAATTCATTTTCTCATTCCAGTAAGACTCTGAAAGAAGGACACTAAAAATCTATATGTATACAAATTCAGATTATATATTTCCTCTGATATTCCTGATTTTACAGTTCAGATTTACTTTTAGGTTTAGTTTTGTCAACTAAGTAGGCTTCCCTTAACACATTTGTCTAATAGAAAAAAATTGAGGAATGTAGCTTTCTGATTTGGCATTTAAGATTGGCCTTGTGTTTTAAATTAAATCCTATCTATGGTGACATGAAAATCTTTTTTTTTTTTTTTTTTTTTTTTTTTGAGACGGAGTTTCGCTCTTGTTACCCAGGCTGGAGTGCAATGGCATGGTGTCGGCTCACCGCAACCTCCGCCTCCTGGGCTCAGGCAATTCTCCTGCCTCAGCCTCCTAAGTAGCTGGGATTACAGGCATGTGCCACCACGCCCAGCTAGTTTTTGTATTTTTAGTAGAGACGGGGTTTCACCATGTTGACCAGGATGGTCTCGATCTCTCGACCTCGTGATCCACCCGCCTCGGCCTCCCAAAGTGCTGGGATTACAGGCTTGAGCCACCGCGCCCGGCCGACATGAAAATCTTAATTCAACAGATTTAGCAGAAATAAATGGTACCATTGGGACTCCAGACCCTCCTCATGTTCTTGTTTAAAAACGTAGAGTCTTGTACTTCTGTTTCATCAGTCATCAGTCTGACAGTTGGTGGGGCCATCTGAACTTTCAGTGGATACTTCTGCTCACGTTGTACATAATTTGAGGGAAATTTTTATTTTATATGCTGAGATGTTGATAGATAACTGCCTTATCTTTTCTGGCATGAACAACTGAAACCACTTGGATAGTTCATTATCAGTCATCAGGAATCTAGATCTCCCCCAATAATTTATATTCCTGTTCCATCCAGTTCAAAGATGATGTTGCCATTGTTATCTCCTGAAGCTTGGATTCATTGTAGGGTACTCACTTGGCATATACCTTGCAGAGAAAAATAAAGAAGTTGAAATCCTTCCTGAAATCATTGTTGAACAATTTATACTTGACTGTAATTATAGATATGTACACTTGCAAGAAGTTTCAGGAATAATTTACTGTAAGAACATGGGATTGAACAGAGATGCCTCAAGACTGCCATAAGAGGAAGGCCACACAAGTAGGGCTCTGGAACTCTTACTTTGAAACCACAGCCACTCACTTTAATCCTTTCCGTATATTGGTTTGGAAAGAGGTGGTCTGCATAAGACTTTGATTTGAAAGTAGGCTACTTAAAACCAAAATTAAAAATCAGTATCTTTATGAAAGAGAAGGCTTTACCAGGCCCAGTGACATGCATGTGGTCACCTGGTTAACAAGAGAAATGCACCTGTAATTGCCTGTGTGGTTCTCTCCTCTTTGCCTGTGTCTGTCCCAGCGACTGACACAACAGTCTGCCTGGCTGTAGCCACAGGGACACTGTCCTTTCTGTTAACTCTTTCAAAGAGGAGATGGTTATCTGCCCTTTTATTAATATTTAAGATGTTTAAATAGCGATTTCTTTGTTTCTGAGGTAAGTATAGTCCTTCATGAGACAGTATTTCCAATTTAATATAAGAGTGAGACATTTCCCGCTAGGGCTTAAGGTCATTCTGTTTGATCCTATATTTGGTAGAAAAGGATAATGTTCACTTGCCATCTCCCACAAAATATTTTTATGTACTTTGAGAGTATTTATTAAGACTCCATCCTGTCTTTTATTCTTCAAACTAGAAAACATCAGTGTTTTGAATATGTAACCTCTGAGTTGTCGCTCTTTCTTATACAGCAAATAGATTCTGCACTTTAATTGGCTCTAAGTCAGATTTTTTTTTTTTTTTTTTTTTTTTTTTTGGTAAGAGTGGTGAAGATGACCACTTATTTTCACTGAGTCATCTCTAACTTAAGTGTATTGTGGTTTTGGCTAGGGAATAGAAACAACCAGTAATTTTTGCTATTCTTAGCAGAGTTTTATTATATTCTTCAGATTGGCATTCATCAGGTGATTATTAATGAGTATTATGACTACATCTGCATTTCTGTGTTTAAACTGCTTTACAAAAGGCTTTCTGCTGAAACCTAAAAATCCTATACCCAGTGAAAAATCAACAATTACATTTTGAGAGCAAGAATCAGCCCTAATTTATTTTTATTTCCCACAGTGCTAAGAATTGTGTTTTCTACAGAGCAAACAATCAATGTATGTCAAACAGTTGAATAAGTGAAATGTCATAGTACTTCTGCATATCCATATGGAGTAGCATATTCTTGATCTTTTATTTAGTGCCTTCCTTTAAATTCTTGTGTACTTTCTTAGTCCATTTAACGTTGCTATAACAGAATACCTGAGGCTGAGTAATTTATAAAGAAAAGAGGAGGTTTATTTAGCTTATGGTTCTGGTGACTGGAAAGTCCAAGAGCATGGCACTGGCATCTGCTTGGATTCAGGTGAGGGCCATGTGCTGTGTCACAATATGTTAGAACAGCAGAAAGCCAAGTGGTGTGTGCAGAGACCCAACACAAGGCAACCTTACTTTATAACAACACGCTCTTGTGGTAACTAATTCAGTCCTGCTAGAGTGAGAACTTACTCCCACGAGACTGCATTAATTCGTTCATGAGGGCAGATCCTTCATGCCCAAACACCTGTTAAAGGTAACACCTCCCAACACCACCACTTTGGCCATTAAATTTTAACGTGAGGTTTTGTTGGTGATGAATCACATCCAAACCATGGTATGTACTATCCTAGTTTTTTCTCGAAATATTGCCACTTGTTTTAAACTTGTTTTATGCATAGAAAAACTTAGGCAGAACGCTTTATGAATTGCCCAGTTGGTCCTTGGGTTAGGTTTAACTGCCAAATTAAAATGGATAATTGGTAGGTCTTTTTCTGGAAAGTAAAACAGGTTTAGGAAGAATTCTAACAGGTAGGTCTAAGTTTTTTATGATGAGGAAACAAAGAGCTGAAGTACTAATCTCATAAATTCATATTAAGATCTGTCTGTTGCTCACTCAAAACAAAATACGTAAATTACAAAAGAACTTAAGGTTTGCACAGACAGTATACTGTAAAACTTGAAACATTTGGTTTAGAAAATAGTTTAAGTTCCATGGAATTCAGAATTTATGGGGTAGTATGATAGCATGGGAGTAATTATACCTTTTGTTCAAGAGGCTATTGTTTTCGGGGCTTATGGGCTGATGTTATTTCGAGGAAGTCATGGTCTGTGGCTCAGGATGTGTCAATAGGGGACCCTCTTGATATCTTAGGGAGTAATTCCTTACAGTTGACATAGTTCTGCATTTTGCAGCATTTAGAACAGCTACACCTTGAACACTAAATCTTCACGTGGCATTTGGGCAAGCAAAAATACCTTGCCAAACTTCACATGCCCACGGGGCAGTGGTACCAGTCCTAATGGATGCTACTGGAGGCTAAATTATGTGTCTGTGAACCACTCGAAGTTATTCAGATAAATGTGTCAAGTATTGGGGGTAGGTTTTTAAAAGTTTGGTGGTCCTTTTTGAATAAACGATTTAAATCACTGTACTTATTTCTGGGCAATGAATAAATGGCCTGTATATTAGACCCAATTGTACAGTGGGCAGAAACCTAAGCTTGTCCATGGCTAATTGATTTACATTATTAATATGAAGAAAAGGATGTACTAGCAATAAGATTTTCCTTATTTTAGCGGAAAAAGAATAAACTTGGTGCTATTTATATAAATGAAAGCTTTACCAACCCAAGGAAGAAAGAATGAAGCTTCTAGTTTATCATGAAATGATTCAAGTATACCTAGCGTGCAGCCTTCCTTCTTACATGGATAGACTTTCCTCCATGTGGCTTCCAGGGACACCTGATACCAGCGTTTCATGTTTTGTTTTCAGGATCAGTTCAGTGATATGAGAATCAGCATAAACCAGACGCCTGGGAAGAGTCTTGACTTTGGGTTTACAATAAAATGGGATATTCCTGGGCTCTTCATAGCATCAGTTGAAGCAGGTAAATGATATATTCAGCTTTACTGAACTTTCTTCTCCTTTTTCATCTTTCATTGTGGGGTTGGGGACCACAGAAATTAGTCTGTTTAACATAGGAGGAGAAAACGTGTGAAAAATGCAACTCTAAGGCCACAGAATATATCCTCTTTCCTGAGATTATTAGTTGGGGTTACAAATTCCATATTGTTTATTATTCTTGCCTAATTAATTTTAGTTTTGAAGAGTCTTAATTTTGTGATTTTACAGATTTTGCCCATTTTGGATATTATATTTGGGAATACTAACAGCACTTAAGATTCAGAAAGAACTTGCCCTGATCAGCCATACTTTGCAGTAGATATATATGTGCTATTTTTTTTTTTTTTTTTTTTGAGATGGAGTTTCGCTCTTGTTAACCCAGGCTGGAGTGCAATGGCACGATCTCGGCTCACCACAACCTCCACCTCCTGGGTTCAGGCAATTCTCCTGCCTCAGCCTCCTGAGTAGCTGGGATTACAGGCACACGCCACCATGCCCAGCTAATTTTTTGTATTTTTAGTAGAGACGGGGTTTCACCATGTTGACCAGGCTGGTCTCGATCTCTTGACCTCGTGATCCACCCGCCTCGGCCTCCCAAAGTGCTGGGATTACAGGCTTGAGCCACCGCGCCCAGCCTTATGTGCTATTTAATAAGGTGATTTTTTTTTTTTTGAGTGCTCTAATATACATTGCCTATGAAGTCTTCAGGACTTCTGCTAAAGGATTACCCTTCCCCTATCCAGGTCTATACCATGTCAAGCCCGGGAACTCTTTGCAAAACATTACAAGGCCTAAAATTAAAATGAAAGCCGTTGTATCTAAGAGGAGTTCCTTTATTTTCACTTTTATTTTTTACATATTTCGGCTCTATAAAATTGTATGTTAACACCAGTTATTCCTTTTATATCTTAAGATTGCCTTAGTTAGATAATGGTGTTTTAGTTATGGAGTAATTTTAAGCAGTTTTAAATAGCTATGTTTTCTTCTGCTCTATTCCAAAATGTATCTGATTTGCAAGCTCAGTTAAAATGCACTGTATTTCACATTTCAAATTTAAGAATTACTTATTTTTTTTTGTTTTTGGGAGGTTAATAAAGAAGTCTTATTGAATATATTTTTCCTTTAATTCTTAACAAATTTGCATTCTATAGAACTTAAAAACTAACTCTAATGCTTTGCATGTTGTACTTAGATACTCGATATTAAAAAAATAGTGACCTTTCTCCACCTGAAAAAGAGAGAAATGGTTAATTGAAATTAAGAGTCATTTTTCTTAAGCTTAAAGCAGCAGCTAGTAGAACATGTGGAATTTTTCCCAGCTGGTTGTTTAATTTGTTTCGCATTTTTAGGTAGCCCAGCAGAATTTTCTCAGCTACAGGTAGATGATGAAATTATTGCTATTAACAACATCAAGTTTCCGTATAAGGATACAAAAAAGTGGGAGGAAACCATGGCTAAAGCTCAAGAAACTGGAAACCTAGTGATGGATGTGAGGCGCTATGGAAAGGCTGGTGAGTTTGTGTTCCCACCGTGTCTGGCCTTTGAAATTGGGGCCTGGCCCTTGGCAAGAGCTTCTAACAGTTTGCTTCAATAACTTTTTATATTTTTCACTTTACTTATGCTTTGGCATTAAAGGTGTTTTGTAGTCATGTCATGACAAATCTTGAACCCTCCTCCTTTGAATATTCTGTCTGGACTTTTCACTAGCAAATTTACTGAATTTTACGTTATTTATTGAGTGATTTATATACTGGTCTGACTGAATACAAATATCAATTGAAGACAAATGTATCTGTATCCAGGAGTTATTTAAAATACTGAGTATTAAGGATTATGCTATGATTTAACTTTCTCTGCAGCATCAGAACCATACTGGTATAAGAGAGAGAGCCTGGTAGGTCATATTCCTATTTATTCTCAAATAACTTTGAATGTGCATTCCATTAACGTGTTTCTTAGTTACAGAGTTTAGATGGGAAAGGGCATTAAGCCTCCATGGACCTACCAGCTTATGATAACAACATAAAATCTCTTTCCTGGTTTTTGGGAAAGATTCAGCAAATTTGCTAGTTTTTTCATTACTAACATGATTTAACCCTTGTGTTTTAGGAAGGTGGTCTGTTGGTAAAAAGCCCTAAACTCTTGATTTATTTCACACACTGTCTGATTTGTTTGTCTTGTCTATGTAGATTTTTAAAAATATGTGTATTCAATGACTTTATTCTTTCCACTTCACCATTTATATGTACTCATTTGATCTTCATGTGCCAATCAGACTGGGGCAAAGACCAACCTTCCCTGCCATTTATACGGCATAAAACCCTCAATCTCACCAGTATGGCTACCAAAATTATAGGTTCACCTGAAACAAAGTGGATTGATGCAACTTCTGGAATTTACAACTCAGAAAAATCTTCAAATCTGTCTGTAACAACTGATTTCTCCGAAAGCCTTCAGAGTTCTGTGAGTATTTAGAGAAGTAGGAGTACTGATGTGGAGCAAAGCAGCTGTTAGAATTGTGTATGGAAGAAAATAATTTTGTTTGTGCAATTTTGAAACAACCTTTAAAATGTAAATGATTGAATAAGATAATATACAGTAAAGAGATATAGTAAAATATATTTTTGAAAACCATAGGTATTCCTCATACATAGTTGTGAGTTACATAAGGGTAAATCCAAAAGATCCCATCATACTCTTTGGCAGGTGTTTTTCACCAGTCTTTCATCATTAGACCCACCTCTAAGATCTTTGTGAGCATAAAGTAGCAATTATATAAAATTATACACTATAACTTCTTTATGCATTCCTTAGTCTTGACTGGCAAATAAATGTTAATAGTTGGGTATAATGTAAAACTTCATGAAGCATTTTTAGTTTTTGTGTAGATGAATTTGATGGGTAGACTTACATATGTGATTAAGAGAAATCAGTTGCATTAATTTGATCAAAAATATAATGTAAAATTTTTTCTAAGCATCAAAGGAACTTTTTTATATAGACTTTGAAGTAATGTGGTTTTTAGTTATGATACAAATTGTTTAAGTTAATAAATTTAAATTTCAACTGAATATTGTACATTTATACTCACTTCTTAGATTGTGTTATTTTTATTATCAAGTCCAAATAATTCCTTTTATTTAATAAAGAAGTCTTACTATATTGTATAAGAAAGGTTTAAATGTTTGATAATCCAATATGAGTGTTTTGTGTACTCATAAATATAAGCCAAATGGACTAATGATTATCCAGTTGATTTTATTTCTTGGAAAATTAATGGTTGATTCAACTTAAAATCATCTATGCCTGCAGCTGGTCATTAATTCTGCCACAAATATTGAAGTATAATGAAAAAATTTAAGTTTCTACTACATGTAAAAGGCTGTAAGAAATGGATCAATATCTTTAGAAACTCATCTTGTTAAAATATATATTCACTAATGAGAAATGCATTATTTAAGCCCAAAGTCCAACTGGAGAGAATATTAACTAGCACCTTTATCCTTTCCAGAATATTGAATCCAAAGAAATCAATGGAATTCATGATGAAAGTGATGCTTTTGAATCAAAAGGTAAATATCACTATTATAACTTACATTTATAATGCAGGAAAAGACATAGCACTCAAGTTCTGCTATTCTAAAAATGAATATCTGTGAGCGAAAGAAAAACTATCCGCTGCAAGTTGAGACTAAAAAGGTTAGCACACAGATCCAATTGCAGCCAGGTGGAAGGGCGTTCAGTTCCAGTGCTGAATAGTTCAGGAACTGCAAACAAAGCTTTGGCAGCATGTTCCGGAGCTTTGAGTGCCTGCCTAAGTCAAATAAGAAAGACTGGTTTTCCCGAGGCTGTCAGCTTTCTTGCTATGGTATGCTGGCAACAGGGAATCTTAGTTAAGCCTGAAACTATGAATGAAGTTTCCTTTCTTCTTTATTGTTGTGAAAGGGACAAGCTTGAAGGCAGTTAGCCGTAAGAGGGAAATGCTAGTGGCAATGAAGTCGTTAGCAGATGTACCCATTTGTAATGAAAAAGAAGGCAAAGTATCTAGGGAAATTTTGGAGTTATCTCCATCTTCCTTCTTCTGCCCATCCAGAAATACTTTAGCTGCCATACATTATGTGCTATTCTTTGGGCACAGAAAGATAAGAATAGACCCAGTCAATGTAGACAGGGGAAGAAACACAAAGAAGGTGAGACTTCTGCCATGAACCTAGACTGCCAAGAATGGGACTGGGTTTTCACAGTGCTTTGGCGGCTTTAAATCTACATTTGACAGTTTATAGTACGTTATCTTAAAGCCAACCTAAATATATAAATTTCTCTTTTCTTATCGATTATTTAATTCCGTATTTCATTTCTGATAGATAGAAGTGACTACATTTTGTTTTCAGTTGCATTCTTTATCAAAGAAGTTTTTGAAGCAAACTTTGCTTATTTTTCTCTGTGATGTTACATGTGAAGCACCCAGGTCCTGTTCTGCAGTGGCTCAGGTGAGATAGCTGATCAGACGTCTAGCTCTTCGATGACTAGGGGACTCTACGTGGGCCCTGTCATTGGAAGGTTTTTTTTAGATAAGTAACCACTAACTAGTATCAAGTAATAATCACATATATATTTTATGCCGTAGTCTTTGGCAGATCTATGGAAGAAGTCAGAATGTTTTTCTTTTGTTTTCTTGGCTGAACTCCATTTGCTTTATTTAATATTAGTAGCTACCAGATCTTGAAAACTAGGTCAAAAAATTCTAATTAGAAGAATGTTGTAACTTTATTATTTGGTTTTATTTGATCTTTCTCTGGGTATCATTTTTTTTGTTGTTGTTGTTTTCTTCCCCATTACTTTTCACTGCTTATTCATAAGTGTTGTGAAAACTGTTACAGACAGTTTTCCATGTAGCAGACAAGATTATGGATTGTTTAACCTAAGCAAAAACTATTAATTTCCTTTTCCCTAAAACAGTGTGACATAGCATGGAAGATGGTACTTTGGCTTTTCATAGCTGTGAAAATATGATGCTGTGTGCTAAAATTTATTAATATAAATATTTGTTCCTTCTAATTCGAATGTAGTGTAGGCTACTAAAATTGTGTGTCCCTGTGCCTTGAAATAATCTACGTCTTCTATGGCTATCAGTTTGTCCTCTTTTAAAATATTTTGCTACAGATTGGAAAGGTATATCAATTATCATTTAATTTCCCAGTGGTGAGAAATCAAAATGAATGACATGGTGTTTATTTTTTTTTTTTAACTAGCATCTGAATCCATTTCTTTGAAAAACTTAAAAAGGCGATCACAATTTTTTGAACAAGGTAAACCACAAAGCTAACAATTCATGCACTTCCATGGAATTGTTCTTAAACTCCACTCCTCCTCCTGGTCTGTGGTGCTGGGCACTGAGCCTCTTCAATTTGTGTGTCATTATGACCAAGCAGCTTAACCCATTTCCATTTTTTCCCTAGGGTCATCAGGCTTTTCTTACAGCTCATGGGTCTACCTCTGTGGTAATGGGTCTTTGTGTGTCCTTTGTATACCTCTAAAGGTTTTACTTTTATTTTTTTAACTTGGTAAAAAAAAAAAAGTGTGTGGGATGGGGAGATGCTCTTAACACTTCTTTCCACTGGGTAACAGTAAGAAATGAGAAATTTCATCTAGGCCTTACTGCTTACTACAAATTGCCTAATATTAGATTACACCAACATGCAATTGGCTGAGTTTTTAAAAACTCTAACCTGTTTTTGGTTGTGGAAAATACTCTTAATAAAGAAGAGTTATTTTTGCTATGGGTTGGTGGCTTTGGAGTGTTGATTTGATTACCCTGTTGACTTTGATGTAAATGCAGAGTAAATACATTTTGGTTGAATCTGAGAACAGGTGCACTTTGAGATTCTCCTTGTTGGTGTAATTGGGCAGGGCTGCCTCAAGATGTGCTGTGCATGTGACATTTGCTTCCCTGTAACGCTTGCCCGGTGCTCTGTCTCATGAATGCTGTTCAAACTCTGTTTTTGCTGCTAAGAACTTAAAAGTAATAGTCAACATTTGAGATGCAGTGGTCTGAGGATATGGTGCTGTTGCCATCAAAAATGTTAATATTTCTTACTTTTAAGGTTATTAACATGCTGATAAACATGTCTTATAACACAGTGCTTATTGGGTTTGTATATTTTGTGTTGATCACCTAATATCTTTCCTTTGGATTAAGGTCTCTTTTTGACCATAAACAGAATTAAGTTACTGGCTATGCAAGTCTGTTTGTGTCAGTATCCTTAGTGGTTTTGGTTTATATTTTAAAATAAAATTCCTGTTTTGTCTATGGCTATTTAACTGAAACCTTATGATACTCCTGGCTAAAACTGGCTAAAATAAAGCATTCCTTTTCTTTCTCTGTTCTAATTTTCTTCGGCTTTTCTTCAACAGGCTATTCTAGGCAAGAATATTTTTCTAGGTCTCAAAGCAATTTTCTTTAAAAAATTGTATGTGAATAATTTATTTGACAGCTGAGATTTCAAGAAAATTTAAAAGTACTGTATGATAGTATATTTTCTGATATTTTACTTTTAAAATAATCATTGTTCTATGTAAAGGTGTACTTGTGTAGGTCCCCTAAGAATAAAAGAATAAGACTTTACCCATAGGTTTATACATGAAGTTTGAATACTTGTGTTTCAAATACTAGGAGCAGAAAAAGGAAATGTTCCTTGAACATGTTTGTTGCAGTGGCTTGCTTATGAAAGGTGACTCATTAGTAAGAAGACTAGAAAAATGTGACTTGCAGCCGTCATGATGTAACTGAGTAGCAGCAAGTAAAAAATTGGGATTTGGTAGATGTAACATTTGAAATTCTTTTTTTTTTCTCCTATTAGGCCAAACTATAAGATACTGCCCAGTTTATTAATAAGAGAACCTTGAAGCTTCTTCAGAAATATCCACGGATCCTACTCTAATACCTAGAGCTAGGGTTTATTTTGGCATCTGTATCTTCCTTTTACTAACATTGAATTTGAAAGATGGGTAACAGATGGAACTGTTACACCTAGAGAAAAAAGGATTTACTAACTGTTGTTCAAGAAAACATTGTCACTTAGTATACTGGCATAGAGACAGCTAATGATAGAAGTTTCTGAAAGGAATTGTTTCATAGGAATGAAGACTTACATTGTATATTTTTCTTCCTTGCCCACGTGCTGCCACACAGGAAGTTCCGATTCTGTGGTTCCTGATGTAAGTAGCATTCATTTGTCATTTGGAATAAGGTGAACTTGGTAGGACTGAATTAGTACACAGTAGTGTGCTTACCATGATTTTAAGTTGCATAAGAGTTTATCAGAGAGTTACCCTTCCAAGTTGAAAAACTTATTTTAAAATACAAAGCCAGCTCTCCCTTGGTACAGTTTAAGCAAACTGTGGTATGAATAATTTATGTGTGCAAAAGTGGCTCAGTAGATGACTTAATGAAGTTGTTCTCTATTTGTGTCTCTTCTCTGATAACTGGTTAGCTTCCAGTTCCAACCGTCAGTGCCCCGAGCCGCTGGGTGTGGGATCAAGAGGAGGAGCGGAAGCGGCAGGAGAGGTGGCAGAAGGAACAGGACCGCCTACTGCAGGTAGCTCTGGCTCACGTGGATGGGTCGGAACTAGGTTGGATTTCATGGCTTTTCACCAGTCTGCATCAACCAGTATTGAGACACTAACTTTAAACTTAACAATCTCAGAACCAAACAAATATGCGGTACATTTTCCGTAAAACAATTACTTTTCCATTTCGAAGATTTCCAGAATCATTCTTTAAAAATGATTATTTATTAACCCCCATGTATGTTTTTATAGAGTAGGAAGGGTACTCACTTAAGGGGTGTGAAGTGCATGCCTTTGTGAGGACTCGGTTCCCATAAACTGTTTGCTAGGTTCCATTGCAGAGTATTCAGCCCCCGTTACAGTTTGCTGGAGGCTTTAATGAGTTACAGCCATGGTAAAGGGTGGCTACGGGTTAAATTCTGTATCTATCTTATCTTTTACCCCAGTGTCTGCATTTTAATTCAATATACACTCTTTTCTACTTTAGGGACTAAACTCTGATTGGCCTTTGAAAATAAAATCATGGTCTTGAAAAGTTTGAGGTTGAAGGTTTAGAGATCATAAAAATGCTAATGAAGAAGATTCTTAATTTGAAGAGTTAATCTGTTATTTTAATATATGTCATGTTTTCTTATAGGAAAAATATCAACGTGAGCAGGAGAAACTGAGGGAAGAGTGGCAAAGGGCCAAACAGGAGGCGGAGAGAGAGAATTCCAAGTACTTGGATGAGGTAACGTTAAAACATGCCTGTTTAGTTTTCCTTCTCTTTACCTTGTTGGTGGGATTAGCTGAGAAGCAGGAGACACTTCGTTTCTCTCTACCTTTGACCATATGTTCACCTGTGTAGCTCTTTGAAAAATCCAGTCTGATTTGTTAGAATTTTGCTTGGATGTTTCAGCCTTTCTCCTAGTTTTTGCAGTACATCATTAATAAATTATGTTAATAGAACTTAAGTGCATCTTCCTCTTCTAAGTTACGTCTTAGTCACTCGTGTAGCTTTTTTTGTGGTAAAACTCTTTTTTTTTTTTTTTTTTTTTGACGGAGTCTTGCTTTGTCACCAGGCTGGAGTGCAGTGGTGCCATCTCGGCTCACTGCAACCTCCGACTCTCTGGTTCAAGCTGTTCTCCTGGCTCAGCCACCCGAGTAGCTGGGATGAGAGGCATGCAACACCACACCCAGTGAATCTTCATATTTTCAGTAGAGACGGGGTTTCACCAGGTTGGCCAGGATAGTCTTGATCTCTTACCTCGTGATCCGCCTACCTCGGCCTCCCAAAGCGGTGACATTACAGATGTGTGCCACCACACCTGGCCTTTTAGTGGTAAAACTCTTAACGTATTTTTTGAGTGGAGTCCTGGTCCAACTATAGTTAGTATCATCCAAAATGGAATATTTATGTCTATGTGAAATTATAGAACTAAACAGATTTAGATGGGTTTCTTTTTTCACTGGTCACCTAGGAACTGATGGTCCTAAACTCAAACAGCATGTCTCTGACCACACGGGAGCCCTTTCTTGCCACCTGGGAAACCACCTGGAGTGAAGGGTCCAAGTCTTCAGACAGGGAAGGAACCCGAGCAGGAGAAGAGGAGAGGAGACAGCCACAAGAGGAAGTTGTTCATGAGGACCAAGAAAAGAAGCCACAGGATCAACTTATTCTTGAGGGAGAGAGGAAACGGGAGCAGCAGCTTCAGGAAGAGCAGGAGCGGAAGCAGCGGCTTCAGGAAGAGCAGGAGCGGAAGCAGCGGCTTCAGGAAGAGCAGGAGCGGAAGCAGCGGCTTCAGGAAGAGCAGGAGCGGAAGCGGCTTCAGGAAGAGCAGGAGCGGAAGCGGCTTCAGGCTGAGGCTGAGGAGCAGAAGCACCCTGCGGAGGAGCAGAAGCACCAGGCAGAGAGAGAGCGGGAAACATCAGTCAGAATATACCAGTACAGGAGGTCTGTCCCCACAGCCAGAGGGCACAGGGGCTGTTAGGGTAGCTTGGCTTAGATGTATCCATCCATTCCCCACTTCAAAGGCACCCCCTTGCTCTTCCCGTTTCCTACCACCCGTTCTCCACACAAGTGAATACAAGCCACCAAAGAGAACCTTTAAATTATAAACCCTGTCATGTCATCTTGCTTCCCTGCCCAGAACCCTCCAAAGCACTTCCTGTCACATCAGAACCCCATCCAGCATCCTTGCCATGGCCTAGAAGGCTGGCCTGAGCTAGATTACTTTGCAGTACCTCCATTATTCCCCTTACTCTGTTCCAGCCACACTGGCCTCCTGTTTCTTCCTCGAAAATGCCCAAGGACTTTGGCATTTTCTAGTCCATCTGCTTGAGAAGTCATTGAATGTTTGTGTGTCTTGTGTTCTCATTTTCTTCTAGTCTCTGCTCAAACATCACCTCCTTAGACTTTCTAGAATACCTGATTTAAAATACAGGCCGCTTCTCGGTCCTTCTCCCTGTATACTCTTACCTTGTTTTATATTATGCATTTATTTATTTACCTGTTGGCCTGTCTGCTGCAGTCAAATATAAGTGCTTGGAGGATAATACGTTTGTTTTGTATACCTCTGTAGCCCATTCCTAGAGTGGTACTGCAACATGGTGGGCACTTAGTATGCATTTGCAGAATGAATGAGTGAATAAATGGCTTGGCAAATGTCTGTTGGCAATAGTGGGTCTGTTTTCTGTGGTCATTCATTGAAATACCTTTGTATGTTTAGTTTTTAACCCAAAGACTGTTTGCATAAAGAGGCTAGAATGACATTATTTTGATACCCTTTTCTTAAACTCAGGGAAGAGCTTAGAGTCTAATATTTTGACTACAAAATCTTTTTCCATCTTGTAGGCCCGTTGATTCCTATGACATACTGAAGAGAGAAGAAGAATCTTCAGGTTTTCTTCCTGGTGACAGGTATGTAGAGCATGTTATTGTAATTAATTGATGATAACTGGCTTCAATAATATTCCAGGGCTTGCCTCGATTTGTGGAACTACTTTAGCCCTTTGTCATCTGTGAGATATAAAGAAGGAATTGCTGGGTGATCTTTGTATTAGTTAGCTTTTGCTATGTAACCAACTATTCCTGAATTTAATGAATTAGCTTATGATTTTGAGGGTCAGCATTTTAGGCTGAGCACAGCTGGGCAGCCTTTTAGTTGATTGGACTTGCTCATGTGTCTGCTCCCTATTAGCTAGGCAGCCCTGCTTTTGGGGGTTGGCTGGCTGTCAGCTGGGACAGTGAGAACAAGTGGGTCATGTGTCTTTCAGCATCCACCGAGCCAGGGAGGTCTTATATATATGTGGTGGGGGTCAGAGGAAAGAGAATTAAAGGGAGAAAATCCACAAGGCATCTTAAGATTTAAGTTGTTGACTAAAGTCACAGTCCCAGGTCACGGGGAAGAGAAGGACACAGCCTCTTTACGGGAGCCATCACATTGCAAGGGAAATGGACGTGGCTGGGAAAGGACTGTGTCAATTTTCTGTAATCCAGTTAATCTTTCTTTTAAAAAGGTTATGGATAATGGTTTAACATTACTCCCCAAAGGGTTATGTATGGACATCTGAAATGGGAATAGTGACCTTTCTTTTAGGCAGTTTGGCTGGAACTACTGGTCAGTTTTGGGTAATGAAGATAAAATTTCAGATATCTGTAAAGATATACATGTCTTAAAATTTCCTAAAACATTGTTTTAATGTTTTAAAGTAATTTTTGAAATGCTTTGCAGTTTCGAATTCACTAAGGACTTCTAACAGTCTGTCTACAAGTATTGAGGGTAGGACCTTTACCTCGTGTTTTCAGAGCTGAAATTTCTCCCTTTGTCTTATTAGATATAAGGAAAGACTTGCATCTACAAGCAACCAGGATGACTGAATAGGGCTCAGAATAGAAGGGGAAAAGGAAAGGAACAAACAGGTAGTAACAGGCTGACAATAAGCTAAAGAAAAATCTAGTGATAGATGACCTTGTTTCTGATCTCTCAGGGTAACAGTAAATCATTCAAATGTTTATCTCCTTTTAAAAGTTATGGATTTACTTACGTATTTACAAAAGCTTTATTTATATAGCTCATTACCTTGGGAAAAATAATTAAAATGCAGAGAAAGGAAACTTAAGGAAGCCTGTGAAATATGAAATACCTGCAGGCAATCCTGATAGAGCATACCCTAGAGGCATCAGGGAGTGTGGCTAGGCATCTGGTAATAAGTGTTTTCTTCTACATAGACACAAGTGAAAGTATTCACAAGTGCAGCTGTCTATCACTTATGATACATTATTATGTATTACTGATTGTTGGATTTATGCATATATATGTATGTGTATGTATTTAAGTATAATATTACCGATTATTTTATAATGTATACTATGCATTGTTATCGCTATTATTTTATTTTATTTTATTTTTGAGGCAGAGTCTCGCTATGTTGCCCAGGCTGGAGTGCAGTGGGGCGATTTCAGCTCACTTCAACCTCCACCTCCTGGGTTCAAGTGATTCTCCCTTCCATTTAGCTGGGACCACAGCAGTGTGTCACCATGTCCAGCTAGTTTTTGTATTTTTGTAGAGACGGGGTTTCATCATGCTGGCCAGGCTGGCCTCAAACTCCTGACCTCAAGAGATCTACCTGCCCTAGCCTCCCAAAGTGCTGGGATATAGGAGCAAGCCACCACGCTGAGCCATTACTATTATTTTCAAAGTTCAGTGTGTCTAGCAGAATGGGAATGAGATTAGCATGTGTCGATTTATACACCTAAAGTATATTGTTAAAAAGATAAGGCATTTCCTGAAGTTGACTATGCTGTATCCTTTAGAACCTCTTTGGAACACTAAGATGGCATTTGGGAAATTAATGTTCCACAGTAGTCAGTAGCACCCCAGTGCCCAAGAAGTTGACATTATAACCCTGAGTAGTGTGGAGGAAGTGGGACAGTCTGACTGTAGGTGATCTGATGGCAGATGCTTTGTAAGCCTGATGAGATTTAAGGTCTGGATCAGAGTGAACATTGACAAAACTTGACCAATAAATTATAGTTTTAATGATCATACAAACTGGAGAAGCACTGTCACATGTCTGTATGTATTTCTAGCATACCACTTTTATCTTTTTTAGGGATGTCAAGGTTTTCTTTTAGTTTGTGAAAGATGAAACTTTTCTTGGTTTAGAAACAATTGCTCTCAGAAGACATACAAAGTAAATCAAATGCTTTAAAAAGCAATCTCTTTGGTGTTTTTACTTCATAAATAAAAAAGATAATATTACTGAGACATATTTAATATATTGTGTTTTGTATTTTAGGGATAAATCCAGATCTACTACTGGACTGGATAATTACTCCACAAATGAAAATGGTAAATGCTATTTTTCACCCTACACTCCTTCACAATTGCTTATTTGTGCTGTTATGATAAGTATTTTTTAAGGTCAAGATATTTCATATTCATTAAGATTACATAATTAAAATACTTTTAACCTCTGTATATAAAAACATCAAAACAACTGTCTTGTGTTTATTTTGACTTTATTTTATATTGGAAAAATATAGGGAGATTAAAATGGCTTTTAAATTGGTAATGAAATATGGGAATTTTGCAAAGTGGTGTTGATGCAGTTGCATATAGTAGATTTTGTCTTGCAGCTGAGAAATGGTACGGAAAAGATTTCTATGAAATACTGGAGGACTTAAAAATTGTATACTAATTTGAATTATGTACATGCCAAAATGTCAAAAAAAGAAAAAATTATGACTTCACTAATTCTGCAAAAACAATTAGGACTTTACATTGTTAGTATAAAATATGTTTCTGAAGAATGCACATAACTGAAAATATATGTATGAAAAAAACCCTAAGCAATAATTACCATTTTAAGCAGGGTTTGCATCTCAGGATTTGCATAAGCAGGTGACTGGTCATTTATATGAATGAATGAAGGTCGAGGTAAGGCTGAGGTAGACATGCCCATCAAGGTGGACAGTCACTGCCCAGCTCCAGCCTATCATTGCCATGCTGGAGAAGGCAAGCTTCTGATTGCTTACTCTTCCTGTTGTAACAGAAAAGTTAAAAATATATATATATATATCTATCTGTTTTCATGTGTTATCTTTTATGTGCTGACAAGAGATTTTTTAAAAAGCTAAAATCCTCTGTGAGCTAAACAACCTATCTACAGGCCAAATACTCTAGTGGCAGCTAGTTTTTAACCTCTGGTCAAAGCTTATAAAACTTAGTTTTTATTGAAATTTACAGTTCTATGATTTACCCTTTCTTCGAACAGTTAGGACCTTTGTTATCTGGTTCTAGTTTAGCTTTCCAGAGGAGCTATTTTTCCCTTAAGGGAATCCTTTTTTTATTGCACTTTAGATTCTGGGGTACACGTGTAGAACATGCAGGATTATTGCATAGGCACATACATGGCAATGTGGTTTGCTGCCTCCATCCCCCTGTCACCTATATCTGGCATTTATCCTCATGTTATTCCTCCTCAACATCCCTACCCCACACTGTCCTTCCTCTATTCCTCCCCCAACAGACCCCAGTGTGTGATGATCCCCTTCCTGTCTCCATGTGTTCTCATTGTTCAACACCTGCCTATGAGTGAGAACATGCAGTGGTTGATTTTCCGTTTTTGCGTCAGTTTGCTGAGAATGATGGTTTCCAGATTCATACATGTCCCTACAAAGTACACAAACTCATCGTTTTTTATGACTGCATAGTATTCCGTGGTGTATATGTGCCACATTTTCCTTGTCCAGTCTTTCATCGATGGGCATTTGGGTTGGTTCCAGGTCTTTGCTATTGTAAACAGTGCTGCAGTGAACATACGTGTGCATGTGTCTTTACAATAGAACAATTTATAATCCTTCAGATATATACCCAGTAATAAGATTGCTGGGTCAAATGGAATTTCTATTTCTAGGTCCTTGAGAAATTGCCACACTGTCTTCTACAATGGTCGAACTAATTTACACTCCCACCAACAGTGTAAAAGTGTTTCTATTTCTCCACATTCTCTACAGCATCTGTTGTCTCCAGATATTTTAATGATTGCCATTCTAACTGGCATGAGATGGTATCTCAATGTGATTTTGATTTGCATTTCTCTAATGACCAGTGATGATGCGCATTTTTTTTATGTTTGTTGGCCTTATAAATGTCTTCTTTTGAAAAGTATCTGTTCATATCCTTCACCCACTTTTGAATGTGTTGTTGTTTGTTTCTTGTAAATCTGTTTTAGTTCTTTGTAGATTCTGGATATTAGCCCTTTGTCAGATGGGTAGGTTACAAAAATTTTTTCCCATTCTGTTGGTTGCCAGTTCACTCTAATGATTGTTTCTTTTGCTGTGCAGAAGCTCTGGAGTTTAATTAGATCCCATTTATCTATTTTGGCTTTTGTTGCCAATGCTTTCGGTGTTTTAGTCATGAAGTCCTTGCCTATGCCTATGTCCTGAATAGTTTTGCCTAGGTTTTCTTCTAGGGTTTATATGCTGTTTGGTCTTCGTCTTTAATCCATCTGGAGTTAATTTTAATGTAAGGTGTCAAGAAGGAGTCCAGTTTCAGCTTTCTGCACATGGCTAGCCAGTTTTCCCAACACCGTTTATTGAACATGGAATCCTTTCCCCATTGCTTGTTTTTGTCTGGTTTGTCAAAGATGAGATGTTTGTAGATGTGTGGCGTTGCCTCTGAGGCCTCTGTTCTGTTCCATTGGTCTGTATCTCTGTTTTGGTACCAGTGCCATGCTGTTTTGATTACTGTAGCCTTGTAGTATAGTTTGAAGTCCGGTAGTGTGATGCCTCAGGCTTTGTTCTTTTCGCTTAGAATTGTCGTGGCTATGTGGGCTCTCTTTTGGTTCCATATGAATTTTAAGGTGTTTTTTTTTTCCAGTTCTGTGAAGAGGGTCATAGGTAGCTTGATGGGAATAGCATTGAATCTATAAATTACTTTAGGCAGCATGGCCATTTTCACAATATTGATTCTTCCTAACCATGAGCATGGAATGTTTTTCCATGTGCTTGTATCCTCTCTTATTTCCTTGAGCAGTGGCTTGTAGTTCTCCTTGAAGAAGGTCCTTTACGTTCCTTGTTAGTTGTATTCCTAGGTATTTTATTCTGTTTGTAGCAATTGTGAATGGCAGTTCATTCTTGATTTGGCTCTCTTTAAGTCTGTTATTGGTGTATAGGAATGCTTGTTATTTCTGCACATTGATTTTGTATCCTGAGACTTTGCTGAAGTTGCTTATCAATTTCAGGAGATTTTGGGCTGAGACAATGGGGTCTTCTAAATATGCAATTCAGTTGTCTGCAAATAAGAGACAATTTGACTTCCTCCTTTCCTAATTGAATACCTTTTATTTATTTTTCTTGCCTGATTGCTCTGGCTGGAACGTCCCATATTGTATTGAATAGGAGTGGTGAAAGAGGGCATCCTTGTCTAGTGCCAGATGAACTTGCCTTTAACCACCATTAAAATTATAGTTTAAGTACTTCATTATTCCCTGAAATATTTCTAACCTGCAGTGGTTATCTCTTCTGAACTTAAACACAAGACCTGTTAATAACGGCAACTGTGAATTTCCAGAATAATATTGTTAATATTTGTGACTTGTATCATTAATCAGATTATTTTGTATGTATGTTTCCCCCCTTCATTAACTCATTGCAAGCTCTTGGATAGCAGGCAGTGGAAGTTATTAAATATTTGATTTAAAAACTTGGTTATACCAAAAAGACGTTTTAAAAAGAGGCTGGGCGCAGTGGCTCATGCCTGTAATCCAAGCACTTTGAGAGGCCAAGGTGGGTGGATCACAAGATCAGGAGCTTGGGACCAGCCTGACCAACATGGTCAAACCCTGTCTCCGCTAAAATTACAAAAATTAGCCAGGCCTGGTGGGGCATGCCTGTAATCAAATCTACTCAGGAGGCTGAGGCAAAAGAATCAGTTGAACCCTGGAAGGGGAGGTTGCAGTGAGGAGAGATCATGCCACTGCACTCCAGCCTGGTGCCTGGCAACAGAGCAAGACTCTGTCTCAAAAAAAAAAAAAAAAAGACAGCATTTATTTAAAGTCTGACAAAATTGATAAGCTTTGTATAAGAAACCTTTGATCTTGCTCATTTGGTCAAGGCATAGACAAACAATAAATTTCAAAAGAATGGCAGCAGCTGTAAATATAGAGAAAGAAAGAAAATAAATCCTTAGATGAGATTTCCTAATCCAGAATAAGGTGGGAATGATATGTGAGAGTTGTGGGTGTTTTACCCCAATCAGAAACTAGTCACCAAATCCGAGAGACAAAGTCCTCAGGATAAAACGTGACTTAATCGTTAGGAATAAATTCATTCAAATTATATTTATGTCAGTTTCTTAGAGTAGAAGCAACATAGTCATCCATAAATGTTATCATACATGATGCTGATGTGAATGTGGTGAAAAGGGAACACTTCTACACTGCTGGTGGGAATGTAAACTAGTACAACCACTATGGAAAACAGTGTTTAGCTTCCTTAAAGAACTGAAAGTAGAACTACCATTTGATTCAGCAATCCCACTACTGGGTATCTACCCAGAGGAAAAGAAGTCATTCTACAAAAAAGGTAGTTGCTCACTCATGTTTATAGCAGCACAATTCACAATTGCAAAAATGTACAACCATCCCAAATGATTTACGTGATAACATTTATGGATGATTATTTGGACTGCTTGAATATTTTTCCTTTTCACAAAAGCCATTTCAATGATTGAATGTGCTTTTCTTCTTAAAATTTTGGTTGTCACTTACACCATGCACACTTGGGTCATGTTAGCTAGAGATACGTGCATTTACATCCTCTTTCCCCAGGGGAGAGCTACATTTGTTTGAGAGAAGAAACCTTCCTGTTTCCTTTTAGAGTTGTCACAGCAAGCATTTGAGCATGTTCTTGATTGATTTAATGTGGGAAAGGAAGAGTGGAAGAAAAACTATTTCTAGAAGAGCATTTTGTAACTAAGTAATACCGAAACCAGTACTGATGGTTTCCTTTTTGAGCGACCTTGTTCATTTTCCCGAGTGTGTTCTGTGGTGTGGCTCTGGCTGTAGAACTGGACCTTCTGGAGTAGGAGGCAGTTACTTATGTTCTATGCAGCACCCTCATTGAGAATTGGTAATGTTATACACATGCACAATGCCACATTTTAAGCTGCAATGCAATTGGGTGATTTATCCACTGTCACTTTTTATTTATTTAATTATTTTTTGAGGCTGCAATTTCAAATATATTTTATTTCCTTGTCATATCACTTCTATCTCTCTTTCTCTCTTTTTGTATTTGTATTTTTTATTTTTAAAATTTTCTATTTCCATAGGTTTTTGGGGAACAGGTAGTATTTGGTTACATTAGTAAGTTCTTTAGCAATGATTTATAAGATTTTGATGCACCTGTCTCTTAAGAACTATACACTAAGCTGAATTTGTAGTATTTTATCCCTCACCCCCTTCCCACTATTCCTCCTGGAGTCCCTGAAGTCCATTGTGTCATTTTTATGCCTTTGCATCCTCGTAGCTTAGCTCCCATTTATAAGTGAGAACATCCGATGTTTGGTTTCCTATTCCTGAGTTACTTCACTTAGAATAACAGTCTCCAGTCTCATCCAGGTTGCTGCAAATGCCATTAATTCATTCCTTTTTATGGCTGAGTAGTATTCCACGGTGTGTGTGTGTGTGTGTGTATACACACACATACATCACATTTTCTTTATCCACTCATTGATTTATAAACATTTGGGTTGGTTCCACATTTTTGCAATTGTGAATCGTGCTGCTATAAACATGAGTGAGCAACTACCTTTTTTGTAGAATGACTTCTTTTCCTCTGGGTAGATACCCAGTAGTGGGATTGCTGAATCAAATGGTAGTTCTACTTTTAGCTCTTTAAGGAAGCTAAACACTGTTTTCCATAGTGGTTGTAGCAGTTTACATTCCCACCAGCAGTGTAGAAGTGTTCCCTTTTTGCCACATTCACACCAGCATCTATCAGTTTTTGATGTTTAGATTATGGCCATTCTTGAAGGAGTAAGGTGGTATCACATTATGGTTTTTATTTGCATTTTCCTGATCATTAGTGATGTCAGTCATCACTGTCACCTTTAAAATGTACTAATCCAGAAGCTTTTGATTTGTTTTTAATTTAGGAAGCAATAAATATTTAGAACGAATTGGGAACACAACGACCTCACAGAGGAGTTCCAAGAAAGAGCAAGTACCGTCAGAAGCAGAGTTGGAGAGGCAACAAATCCTTCAGGAAATGAGGAAGCGAACACCCCTTCACAATGACAACAGCTGGATCCGACAACGCAGTGCTAGTGTCAACAAAGATCCTATTTGTGTTCCTGGGGTCATGAGAAGGTGCGAGACGTCTTCAGAGTTGTTTTCTTGTCTTTACTAAGAAGGAGATATTTAATTTGTAGTCATGCTGGTGCTTTAGACAGAAGAGATGAAGGAAACAGAGCAGACTCCCTGGGGGACTGTTATGTGTCAGCCAGTTGCTGGGTTTACATGACCTCATCTAATCTGAGGAAAATGTTTTGAGGTAGGGATAATCTGTTTGTTTGTTTGTTTTTTAATATGAGGAAACTTTGGCTCGCATGATAAAATCCCATGGTTACTAGGTTGCAAATCTGGATGGGGACCTCTGAAGTGAGGGTTCAGATACTTAAGTAATGCACACTGCTCTTAGAACTGTCTTGGCTGCTGAACTTTAACAAATAGAAGTTTCATCTTTTTATGTTCATAATGAGATAATGATTAGATGGGAATCATGATAATTGGGTTGAAAAGTGATAAACCTAGTTTTTATAACTTTATGGAAGATAAAGATAGAGATACTAATTGGAAATGAGTAGGGGAACATTTTAAAAGATGTATCTTATGTAAATGAATCCTGTAGCTACTCTGATTGGGGAATCAGACTGGGGAATACTATGTGTAACATAACACAGAGAAAGAGCTAATTATCTCAATATATTAATAACTGTAGAAATCAGAAAATTATTCCTGCAAATTCTATAAAAAATAGATGTGTGCCTGTAATCCCAGCTACGCAGGAGGCTAAGGCAGGAGAATCACTGAAACCCTTGAAGTGGATGGTTTCTGTGAGCCGAGATCACGCCACTGCACTCCAACCTGGGTGACAGAGCAAGAGACTGTGTCTCAAAAAAAAAAAAAAAAATCGACAAAGGGATATAAACAGACAGCTCATGGGGAAAAGAAACACAAAGCCAATAAACATAAAATATCAGTACTACTCCTAAACCAAGAATCCATCTCTTTTGCTTACTGGATTTGTAAAACGTTAAAATTGATTAAATTTGGTATTGACAATTGTATATGGAAATAGGAATTCTTGTTTCCACTTGGTTGGACAGTTTTTTAGTATGTATTGAGCAAGAATGTATACATCTGACACTCTGAGCAATGTAGTTTCTAGTACCCTGTCTTCTGGATATATTTGGATAAATATGCAAAGGTATATTCAAGGATGTACACATTATTTGTTAGTGGCAAAAGAAAAGAAAATCACAGTGTCTCCTAGTAAGAAAAGAAAAGCACTTGTCTACTACAAGAAAATCACTATTTACTGAATACTCACTAGTTATTCAGTAAATAGTGGCATCCTGATAAGCTAGAATACTGTAGATTATTGAAGAGAGAAAAGTGTTGCTCCATAATAAGCCACCTCCAAATTTATTGAGTTAAGACAATAATTCATAATCTCTCACAGTCCTGCAGATTGGGCAGTTCTTTGCATGTTGTTGGCTGGGGCACTTGAGCAGCTGTAGTCATTTACAGTAGGTGTTGGTAAGATTTCATGCATCAGGACCAGATATTAGGGTTTGCAGTCCACATAGGTTTCTGTCACATATTCTTTTTTTTTTTTTAAGACTTTGAAAATCTGAAAAGTGGTCTCAGCTCGTGAGCTGTGTCTGTCTTAGCAGCAGGCTGTAATTTGCTGTCTCCTGTAGCTGTAGAGGCTCCACTGAGAGCTCGGCCAGAGCTACTAGTTGAGGGGCCTATGTTCTGCATATGGGCCTCTCCACATAGTTGCTTGGGCTGCCCCATGGCATGGGACTTGGATTCAAAGAGGCAGAGCTTGCACCAAGGCAATGGCTAATAAGCAAGGGCTTATCAAGCCGCCGTGTGCATCGTGTTTGCTGATGCCCCATTGGCCAAATTAGTCATGTGACCAAGCCCAGAATCAGTGGGAAGGGCGTGGATACCAAAAGGTGTGGTTCACTGGAGGCCACTGAAGTATAATAGTTTATCATGTGAGCAGAATGACGAGAGTTCTAAGACAATACATTTTAAATGGAAGAGAAGTTATCAAAACTGTGTTGTGGAGTAATCCATTTGTTTAAGACTGTTAAACCCATTGCATATGTATATAGACACATCTATACTTACGTATGTAAATTTGTATGTGTATGTAAATTTGTATGTGTATGTAGGTATATGCTGGCATGTGTGAGAAAGGGTCTGGAAGGACACGTAGTTAATGCTGGTTACCTCTGTGACAGGGCGGGTGAGTCCTAAGAGAGGACAGACTTTTCTTCTCCCTCAGATGTCTTTCTCTGCAGTTTCAGTCTTTCTCCTTATGATAATGTATCACTTCTATAGTGTTAAAATTTTAAAAATCAAGCTTGGGATAAGAGAAAATTTTGAAAGCAATGAGACCAAATTTGACCAGGTAGACAAATTTTCATAATTTTGAGTTCATTTTTGTATACAACTTTTAAGAGAGATTTTCCCAAAAGTTGTATTTAAATCCATTTGGGAGCTAAATCTGATTTTAAAAGCATATGTACTTTAAGGGATATGCATGATAAATGCTCCTATAATGTAGACATTAAAAAGCTGCTAAATTTAGGGATTCAGTGGTACATAAATGAGATCTTCACAGGAGGCATGGTCTGTGGTTTGAAAGCCAGTACTCCCATTGACTGGCTCTTCCTATGAGAAACTCACTTATGTGACATTAAAAAAAATCTCAATGTTGTAAAGATTCAATAAGTTTAATATTTTTGTGAAAGTGTCTAACCTAATGCTTGCCATATTTAAGCTTTGAAAATGTATTTCTTTGAATTTTTAAAAGACTTTCTGGTTGATATGTGTCAACGAAGATTTAAAGGATAAGTATCTTCTTAGACTTTGCAGAGCATTAGCTTATATTTTTAAATATTTTTCTTAGTATTTTTCTTTCTCCTTTGGTCGGTATTTATTCTTTTACCTAAGCACCAAGCAAAATTTTTTTTTTTTTTGAGACGGAGTTTCGCTCTTTTTACCCAGGCTGGAGTGCAATGGCGCGATCTCGGCTCACCGCAACCTCCGCCTCCTGGGTTCAGGCAATTCTCCTGCCTCAGACTCCCGAGTAGCTGGGACTACAGGCATGCACCACTGTGCCCAGCTAATTTTCGTATTTTTATTAGAGATGGGGTTTCACCATGTTGACCAGAATGGTCTTGATCTCTTGACCTCGTGATCCACCCATCTCAGCCTCCCAAAGTGCTGGGATTACAGGCTTGAGCCACCGCACCCGGCCAGCACCAAGCAAATAAAAATAAAAATAAACAAAGGTGTTCTCACTTGTAAGTGGGAGCTAAACATTGAATGCATATGGACACAATGAAGGAAACAGTAGTCACCAGAGCCTACTTGAGGGTACAGGGCGGGAGGCTGAGGATCACAAAACTACCTCTCTGATACTCTACTTATTACCTGGGAGATGAAATAATCTACACCAAACCACCATGGCACTCATTTACCCATGTAACAAACCTGCACATGTATCCCCTAAACCTAAAATAAAAGTTGAAAAGAAAAGCAGATTAAACAAAAAAGAAGAAGGTTGATTAACTCTGAAGTATGATGCCACTGATGATAAAGATCCACTTTGCTTATTAAAGGTAATTTTAGAGGTGTGTCCTCGGCTTTCAATGGTTCAACTTAAGATTTTTGACTTTACAATGATATGAAAGTGATAAGCATTTGTAGAAACTGTACTTTGAGTAGCCCATGACCAGTCTGTTGTTTTCTTCCAGTACGGTATTCTGTAAGTTGCATATTTGACACTTTATTGTAAAATAGTTTTTGTGTTCGTCGATTTTGCCCAACTGTAGGCTAAGGTAAGTGTTTTGAACATGACTGAGGTGTGTGAGGCTTAGTTACGATATTTGGTAGTTTAGGTAAATTAAAAGCATTTTTGACTTACAGTGTTTTCACCTTATGATGGGTTTATTGGGATATAACCCCATCATCATACGTCAAGGAACATCCGTATATGTAACTAGAATACTTAGATTACTACCCTGATATAAAATATATTAAATGGATTTTCAATGAATGGAATGATGAATCAAATAGATTTCTAGTTGAATACATCACATAATTTTGATGAGTCTCTTTTGTGTTTCAGAGGCGAATCTTTAGGTAACCTGGACTCCCCCAGATCCAATTCTTGGAGACAGCCCCCTTGGCTCAATCAGCCCACAGGATTCTATGCTTCTTCCTCCGTGCAAGACTTTAGTCGCCTACCGCCTCAGCTGGTGTCCACATCAAATCGTGCCTACATGCGGAACCCCTCCTCCAGCGTGCCCCCGCCTTCAGCCAGCCCTGTGAAGACCTCCACCACAGGTGTGGCCGCCACACAGTCCCCCACCCTGAGAAGTCACTCCCCTTCAGCATCACAGGCAGGCTCTCAGCTGCGCAACAGGTGAGGCCCTCCTTGTTTCTCTTTCTTCTCTTAGCCTTGGGTATTTTTTCATTGAAATAGCCCCGAAGTCCTGTCCAAGTTTTCCAACGAAAAAGAAAACGAAGCCCTTTTGAATGTGTCAGACTTGGTATTCTTGTATGAAAGTAATGAAGGCTTGCTCAGTCCCGTTCCATGCAACTCTAAGAGCATTTCTAGATGTCCTGTGAAGCCACCGACACCTTGAAGATGTCTACCTGTTGCCACTGTCTCATTTGCCTGTGCTTGTGGTCAATGTCTTGGATGTAAGACGTATCTGAATACTTCTTGGTGTGGAATCATGAAAACATATAGCAGCTCATGAACGCTTCTCAGATTTCTGAGGAAAAGCAGTATTGTCAAATATCTGACTATATTCATGATAGTGTCATACAGACTCGGAACTGAGTGTGAAAGAAGAGCATTACAGTGCTTTTCTGGGCATGCTCCATTGTCTGGGGGACTTTTACCTAGCTGGATTAAAGAAATGTGAAGTCATTTAGGTCTTGCTTTTGGGGTTTTTGATTGCCAAAATCATTGCTTGGCCATTCTGTTTGCCCATGTTTTGTTCAGGCTACATCAGCTGGATTTGGTAGGGCATATGGTGTGGGAAGTGTCTATGTTGTGATAGGGTGTTATTTTTTTGTATGGAGTGAAGCTCAGATATCAGCCCTGCCTGGGTCATTAGATCTGGGTAGCTTCTCCACAGATCTTTCATGCCTCATATAGGTACATAAGGCAGTGCTGCTCTCATCATCACAAGAGTGCTGTTGGCCTTTACTCCTTTCCACCACAAGTGGAATACTTAAAAGTAGAAACACACTGATTAATATTGGGACTTTTTAAAGTCATCAGATAAGAGACTCACAAGAAAACATGTTTTATATAAATCCAAAATAATTTTACACGTACTGTGATATAAAGTGTGTATCAATGAGAATTGATACACAGAGGTGTATCAATTGAGAGAACAGAGGTGAGGATTTAGGGTAAATTTGGGTATGGTGGGGAGGTCCAGTCTATGGGAAGAGAGAAAGGCAGAGGAGAGGGACCCATTTTCTGGCTGAGAGGCCAGCTCTGGGAGAGCAGAGGGATGGGCTGAGGGCTTTACTGACCTAAGAAGGTCCTGATCTAGGAGGTGGCCCTCTGAAGTGCTATGAGCAGGCCGTGGGGGTGCAGAGGTGTGGAAGGGCAGGCACCATCTTACCAACTGGAAGAGGAGAAAAGATCTTTATCCAAAAGTAGAGTAGAAATCCTCCTTTCCTCTGTCCATGGCAGCTGTCAGGTACTTTTCATTTTCTTCCTCACAGAGACAGTCCTGTAAGCCAGATGGACAGTGAAGAGAGCACTGGCATTTCTGTTTAACTAGAAAACTGGGTGACCAAGAAAGAGGGTGAATGATCAGGCTGAGAAAATAGGTCATAGAGGAATTGCAAAGCCTCTCGAAGGAAGTTGAGGCCACTCTTTTGGTGTTCTGAGAGGGTCAGAAGGACACGATCAGCATTGTGTGCTTTGGTTTAACTGGCAAGAAGATGTAGGTAGATGAGACGAGGGGAGACTGTTGCCGAGTACAGAGGTGATCAAAGGAAGGAAGCATCAGAAACTCAGATGGACTAATTACACTGAAATTGCTCATTTATGTGAGTAGGTGTCAAGGGCCTTGGAGCTGCCGTGGAGATGGTTCAAGGTTAGAGTATAATCAAGGCATTCTTTAGTTGGTCAGTAAAGGTTATGCTCCCACAGATACATGTATAGAGCTTTTCGTAAGTTATTATCAATGTTAATACCAGAGTGTGACTTTAAAGAAGAATCTTGAGCTGCCCAGGTGAAAGCCTCCATTCCATTCTTGTTCTGCATCTAGGTCAGTCAGTGGGAAGCGCATATGCTCCTACTGCAATAACATTCTGGGCAAAGGAGCCGCCATGATCATCGAGTCCCTGGGTCTTTGTTATCATTTGCATTGTTTTAAGGTGAGACTGAGACAAACAGCTTGCAGGCCTGCAAAACTTTGCTTGGAGAGCGCATGGCTTCTTTGAGCCGCTGGGTGTAGGTGTGCCACTAACAAGCTAGGTGCTGTGTTCGTCAGTCTGTGCTGCTTTTGAATCACAAATTGCTTGCTACTCCCTAGTTCTCAAATCTTGAACCTTGTTTTAAAACTGAAATCTGGAAAAATTTTGCATTTTCTATTTCTGATCTGTTAGAATCCTATACATTTACAGTACATAAGTTGCTTTCTCCAAGATGCTGTCAGAGGCATCCTTGAAATACAATTTACCAATAACCTGCTAGTACTGTTAAGGGCAGGAACACATGCAGTTATCATAGTGTCTGAAAGCCTAGCTTTGAGTAAGAAGAACGTATAAGGAAAACCATTACCATTGTAGCTATTTTTATAATTACACAGCCTGTTTATACCTGGTAGGTTTTTCTTCCTAGGAAGAAACTAAGGCTGTAACTGGTTTTGTAATATCTGTCTCTAAAGACATAGCTGTTTAATTCTTGAACTTGCACTAGGCCAGAGAAGCATTCTGGTTGTTGATCCTGGAGGCCCGCAGACCACAGCTTGTTTAAGTTTGTATGTTGCTGGCTTGGGCTGTTCCTAGGCACAGCAAAATGAGTCAAGATAATTAGAGTTTGGGCACGTGGAATTGAAATATCCAGCCTTCAAGTGAGGCACTGTGTGAGAACGCTCACTAAGCTAGTGCCGCAGGGGCACTGGGGGTGGCCAACCCCAGGGTGGAGGGCCAGAGCCCCGTCTTCATTCACAATGGCCAGTTCTTTCATGAGGGGCCTTATCTGCCATTCCTCTAGGGGGAATTTAGTTTTTTATACTAAATTTCTTTAAGTCAATCAGCAAATTATTTTTATTTTGGGGGAGTATGTTTAGACTGATCATCTTGGCTCTTAATATTGGCTTTATGAATTCTTTAACATCCTATCTGGCAGGCTTTATTTTAATCTACTAATCATCTTTTGGCCTTTTTTTTTTCTTTGCTGAAATGTATCTAAGAGCTTAGAAGTAGTGTTCTGCTCATTTCCCCCACCCCCACCCCCAGGAGTGCCCCAAGCTTTCTTGAGCTGTGACTGATGGTGGGTGTTTTTTTTTTTGTTTCCCAGTGTGTTGCCTGTCAGTGTGACCTCGGAGGCTCTTCCTCAGGAGCCGAAGTTAGAATCAGAAACCACCAACTGTACTGCAATGACTGCTATCTCAGATTCAAATGTAAGAGAGCAAATCAGAGAGAAAATTTCTTGCCTTTTAAGGAGACCACGGGTTCCCATGCATTTCCCTGAACCTGCAGCCGGCTCCCTTTCAAGTTCACTGCCATAGGAGTCCAGGTTTCAGGAATCGTAGTGTGTTCCTTTCAATGCTGTGTATAGAATGGGTCACTGTTCAGGGTTCCAGCCACCCAGGAGTGGGTTGTGGGGCCAAGGAATGGAGAGGAACATGTTCCTGAAAGTCAGGATGGTGTCTTGTGTCATCTGCCCAGGGTCTGTAGAGACCTTTAGTGACTCAAGAATACAAACCAAAAGAGTTAAATAAATCTCCTATGTAGGCTATAGTCTTAACTAAAGATTGGTCTCTCATCATCAACTTATTGCTATTATTTAACAATGGGCTTTGATTATGTGATTTAGAATATGACCAACTTGAAAAGCTATTGTTTTATGTAATACAAAATAAGTCAGCTTATGCTTTATGTTAATATATATCATATATAATTTTAAAAGGAAAGTATTAACTATGGTGTTTCAGTGTCATTTTTGGAAAAAATGAGTTTTCAAAAATTTCAAATGCTACTTTGCCTCTAAGCATGTGTTTGTGTGTTATAAAAGGTAGACTAGCAGAACTAGGTTGTGTATTGTGTATAGCTACAGCAAGGCAACCATTACTGCTGTTTATATTTTAAACCTTGATGCTGGTAACGTGTGTTTCTTCCTTATTGTGAAAGGGTGTTACAAGTGGTATCAGCAAAACCATTTGCTTTTGAGCTCTGAGGTATTTGTATGGCCCCTATGTGAAGAGTGCTTTGGAAGTGGTTTAAGTCCAGTCAACTCTCTCTTATCTGTCGGTGGGTTCTGAGCCTTCCTGCTGCAGCTGTCCAGTCCTTTCCTGGATGCTGATGCTGAGGTTGGAGAAAGTCAAGGCTGGGCATGTACTGGTGGGTGTGTGTATGTGTGTGTGTGTTTTTTCTATCTCATCAAATTCCAAAGCCAAATAGAAATGATTTCTGGAATCATCATTGTAAAATTGCCCATGCCTTTTCTCTCCTCCAAAACAAATAATAGAGAGTTGAGTGTAATTTATTTCTATTGTGAGTGGTTCTTTTTTTTTTTTTTTTTTTTTTTTTTCTTGAGACGGAGTCTTGCTCTGTCACCAGGCTGGAGTGCAGTGGCACAATCTTGGCTCAATGCAACTTCCGCCTCCTGGGTTCAAGCAATTCTTCCGCCTCAGTCTCCTGATTAGCTGGGACCACAGGTGTGTGTCACCATGCCTGGCTAAGTTTTGTATTTTTAGTAGAGATGGGGTTTCATCATGTTGGCCAGGATGGTCTCAATCTCTTGACCTCGTGATCCACCTGCCTCGGCCTCCCAAAGTGCTGGGATTACAGGCTTGAGCCACCGTGCCTGGCATGAGTTGTTCATTTTTACTCCATTTTTACAAATAAAGAATTCCAGAGACCAGACACTGAGATTTGCCTAACTTTATCCTAAGAGTGAGTGACAGGTGACACTTTCTACCTCATTGGGCCACTTTCTGAGTGATGACTGCTATATATCCCAGGTGGCAATATTCATGTTTCTGAATCTGAGCTCTTTTCTTTCTTCTCTCCTTGCCCGATCAGCTGGACGGCCAACCGCCATGTGATGTAAGCCTCCATACGAAAGCACTGTTGCAGATAGAAGAAGAGGTGGTTGCTGCTGACGTAGATCTATAAATATGTGTTGTATGTCTTTTTTGCTTTTTTTTAAAAAAAAATAACTTTTTTTTTGCCTCTTTAGATTACATAGAAATGTTGTAGTCTTGGTAGAACTTGTAGTTTTGTTGTTTATTTATAAGGTAATTATGTGTGGGGAAAAGTGCAGTATTGTTGAATTCAGCATCTTAAAAGCACAAGGAGAAAAAATAAGAACTTAAGAATATTTTTGAGGCAGATAATGATCTAGTTTGACTTTCTAGTTAATGGTGTTTTGAAGAGGATATTTTATTGTTTTTTTTTAAAAAGGTTCTTAAACATTATTTGAAATAGTTAATATAAATATGTCATTGCATTTGCTCTGTTTATTATAATGTATTCTAAATTAATGCAGAACCATATGGAAAATTTCGGTAAAATCTATCCCCAAATGTGCTTTCTGTATCCTTCCTTCTACCTATGTATTCTGATTTTTAAAAATTTAGCTAATGTACCATTTATTTGCTTGATGAGGGAGCTCTATTTTCTTTACCAGAAATGTTGCTAAGTAATTCCCGATAGAAAGCTGCTTATTTTCATTAATGAAAAATAACCATGGTTTGTATACTAGAAGTCTTCTCCAGAAACTGGTGAGCCTTTCTGTTCAACTGCATTTGTAAATAAACTTGCTGATGCATTTAAGGAGCGGGTCTTCTTTTTCTTCAGTGTGTGTGTCTGACTTTAGGCCTTTTAGTCATATTTTAGTATGTGGCCTTTTGGGGTGTTGTGTTTTAGTAGCTTTACAAAGGTATAATTGATATAATAAAGTGCACATATTTAAAGTGTCTAATTTGACAAATTTTGACATGGTGTATACCTTTGAAACTTAGCCACAGTCTCGTTGTGTTTACTGAAACATTTTAATAAGGAACTTTATTTTTGATAAAGTTACATGTTTTTGGATACAATGCATTTGTATGGTGAGAGTGATGAATTGTTGGATTATTTGAATAAAATATTTTCTTTTACTACCCCGTGATAAAAGGAGAAAACAACAGTGAGTATAGAATATCTATATAATATGTATTTACATATAAAATATTGTATCTTGTTTCATAACTCTGGAGCAGGAATGCAAGAATACAAAACTTTAGCATGCCTTGGGCAAACATTTGAATTTACTGGAATCTCGTATAATGTAAGTGGAACGGACAATTCTAGCAACTGAGAACTGTGTTGGAATAGTTTCAAATATATATAAAAAATGTTAATGTGGGAGGCAAAAATTTTATTTAGCACTTACTCTTCTGATTATTAAGTAATAATGTATTCCTTGAGGATAACTTGTCAAATGCCCTAAAGCATAAAGTATATAATTCTGAATCCCAAATTCCAAAGACAAGAGCTCTGTGTTTGAATTCTTTCTGCATATAATTATTTACCTGTAAGTATCTATGGATTGTGAATTTTTCCATGTTCTTAAAATTATTTTAATCTTTTTCCATGGTTGCATAGTGCTCCATTGTTTGGCCCTGGTAATATTTCATTAATAATTCCATTACTGTGTATTTTTCAGTTGTTTCTAATATGAAAAATTTTAATATGCATGTTACATATATAAACATAAATTCTATGATACTCTATGATCATCTCTATTTCTTTATATTATTTTCATAGACATGAAATAGTTTCTCAAAGATTATACATTTTAAGATACTCATCATATATTTTGCCTACGTGGTTTCCAGAAAGGTACTGCTGGCTTGGGCTCCCATAAGCAGCACATGGGCTTGTTCATCTCACGCATGTTCATGAAGATACGTTTATTTGCCTTGTTCTCCGTTTGATGTATATGCAGAGGTAGCCCTCAGTATGCAGTGGTTGAATAAATGAATGAAGAGACCACTATCAGTTTCTGCCTTGTTGATTCTGTTTTTCACTGTCCCCAGAGCATGCCTTAATTCTCCCATCATTTTAGTTTCCTTATCCAACGTCTTTTCTGACCTTTGCTCCTTTTCATCTAAGCCTTTTGTCTTTTCATCTGCTCTTGTTTTCTTATGACTTTTTTCTCATTTTTCACATTGTCTTAGTGGTAACATTTCCGCTAATACAAATTATAAGTACAGTTTTCAGAGCTATTTTCTTCTAGGATACTGGCTCTACATTTATGTACACCCCCAGGTATTTGTTTGTTTGTTTGTTTGTTTGTTTGTTTTTGGTGAGTTGGGGGAGTTAAACCTTTAATTAAAAAAATAGAAAAACTTTAAGGTATATAGTCATAATAAAGTATAACACGATGTTAATGGTAGAATGTAAGTGATGGGTGTATAGATATTCACCATGTTCTCTCTCTCTCTCTCTCTCTCTCTCTCTCTCTCTATATATATATATATATATATATATATATATAGTTTAAGTTCTGGGGTACCTGTGCAGAACTTGCAGGTTTGTCACATAGATGTACATGTGCTATGGTGGTTTGCTGCATCCATCACCCCATCATCTATGTTAGATATTTCTCCTAATGCTATCCCTCCCCTATCCTGCCACCCCTTGCTATCCCTCCCCTACCCTCCACCAACTGACAGGCCCCAGTGTGTGATGTTCCCCTCCCTGTGTCCATGTGTTCTCATTGGTCAACACCCACTTATGAGTGAGAACATGTGGTGGTTGGTTTTCTGTTCTTGTGTCAGTTTGCTTAGAATAATAGTTTCCAGCTTTATCCATGTCCCTGCAAAGGACATAAACTCAGCCTTTTTTATGGCTACATAGTATTCCATGGTGTATATGTGCTACATTTCCTTTATCCAGTCTATCATTGATGGGCATTTGGATTGGTTCCAAGTCTTTGCCATTGTGAACAGTGCCACAATGAACATACATGTGCATGTGCCCCTGGGTATTTGTTACTTCACCTAGGTACAAGGGAAGGGTCCAGCCCTTCAACAATTTTTTTTTTTATTCTTACTTTATGCTCCAGGTACTGCTTTAGGCACCATGGGTAGAACAGCGAAGAAATATAAAGTCTTGGCTCTGACTAGTCTTATTTTTCTGATTGAGGAAGGTGATTAAAAAAAATACAAGAATAACATTTAGGTTGTGAATGACAGCAACAAAAAACAATTGTCGGATAAGAAGGATGCAGGTGCTGGAAACAGAAGTTTGACGGTGCTTTTCTGTACAGGTGCTCAGGGACAGCCTTTTGATATTTGGGCCAGAGCCTGAAGAAATGAGAGAGCAAAACAGACTTGATGGAAAAGCATTCCAGACACAGGCAACAGCAAGTGACAAGTCTTGACACAGGAAAGTATTTGGTGTGTCCAGGGAGCAAGCATGGTTGAGTGGATGAGTGGGGAGGGTTTAGGAGCCGTGGGGAAGTAGAGGGCACAGAGCAGCAGTCACTACGGGACATGGGCTCTTACTCTAAATGGAATAGGAAGATCCTGGAGGATTCTGAGCAGGGGAATGAAATGAACCTACTGATGTGTTAAAAGCACAGACTGCTGTATGAACAAGCCTGCAGAAGGACAAAGGCAAAGGCAGGGAGGCCATTTTGTAGCCTATTGAAATTATCCAGGCAAAAGAGGACATTTGCTTCAACACGGTGGGTGCAGGGGAGGGAGTGAGGAGAGGGAAGATTGGGGTGTGTGTGTGTGTGTGTGTGTGTGTCCTGAAGGAGAAGCTGGTAGAATTTGATCATAGATTGGATGAACCAAAAGGGCAGAGTCAAAGATGAATCCGAAATGTTGGCCTGAGGAGCTGGAAAAAGGGAATTGCCTTTTTCTGAAATGGAGACAGTTAGGGCTAGAGTACATTCGGGTAGGGTGATCAGAGGTTTGGTTTTTAAAACTTGAGCTGTGAGGTTGAGCCATCTATCAGATACCTCAATAGCAGTGTTGAGTAGGCAGCTGGCTGTGCCAGGGAGAAGCCCAGGCTGGGGATATAAGTGTAGAGTCATTGGTGTGTAGATGGACTTTCAGCTGAGAATTGGGAGGACATCACCTGGGATCTGACTGTAACTAAAGTGAAGGTGATATCCAAGGACTGAATCCTGAGGCCCTCCAGCACTAGAGATCAGAGATGCAGAAAAGTGAGCATGAGAGAGAACCAAGACCCTGGTGTCCTGGAAGCCAAGTCAAGTCTGTATTTTAAGGAGAGAGAGACATGCCATGTCACATGCTTCCCAGAGATCCAGTAAAATTAGGCCTGAGAGTTGGCATTTGGTGATTAGTTTGCAACGTGCTTTTCCCCCGGTCATGCATGTGTTTGTGTTTGATACTGTCCTTGAAGGTTCAGTTGGTGGTTCCTCGTATAGGGGGTAGCTGGCCCAGTTTTCAGTGCCTGGCTGTCTTTAAATGGATCTGATGTTTTTGCCTAGTTTTCCCAGGGAGAGGAGCTGAAGGAGAACATAGAAAGCCATCTCCAGGCCACTTACTGCGTGCATCCTTCCCTGTAATGTACTAGTAACCTTCCCAGTGCGTTATATGTCACCTTAACACATCGGTGATTCTTCTCCTCCTCCCTCTGCCTATAATTTCTGAGGATCTGAGAATATTGTAGAAATAAAAGTTTTGGGGTTGAGGCTATCCTATCTGCTTCAGAGGTGCAAGCTGGCCAGCTGGGGGACATTTCTGCTCTGCAATGTTCTGATACAAACCCTAGGTCTTTTAATTGAGATGCAGGCTGGTCTGTCTGATTTCCAGCTACAAACAAGCATTGGTCCTTAAGTTGCGCCCCCCCGACCCCCCACCCGCCGTGGTCCTTAAGTTTTGACACAGTTCAGAAACATGGTAGTTGATGAAAACTCTCTTTCAATTCTAGAATTAATTTGCCAGTTTTAAATCTTGGCATTCATAATTTTTTTTTTTTACTTTCACTGTGTTTATGCTTTGTGGGAAGCAGGGAGAAGCTGAATAAAAAGTTGCTATCTAGATGTTATATTAAGGCATAGGCTAGTTTTGTGATTGATTTAGAGATAGCATTTTGCTCTGTCACCCCAGTGATCACAACTTACTACAGCCTCAAACTCCTGGGCTCAAGCAGTCCTCCTGCCTCGGCCTCCCAAAGTGCTGGGATTGTAGGCATGAGCCATTGCATCTGGCCAACTTCTGTGTTTTGGGTTGTCATAAATATTCCTGAAACTTACATCTTCCTACCCTTGACTTAGAGGCAATAGGTACAGGTGTATTTAGCCATTCCTTTCTTTGGTTGATATATTTGAGAATGACATGTGTAGGTAATCAAACCCATCTTCCCTCAGTGCTGAGCCAATTGGGAACCTTGTATAGGCAGTAAGGGTGGAAAGTATCAGCTGCTTTTCTGTTGGACAGCTTCCCACTTGGATGGAGCTTAATGATGGAGCATCGAAATGAAGGGCTCTTTGTCTCTGTGCTTGCGGGCTAACCACATGGAGGAGAGAGGACTGCACATGGTGTGTGGACAAGCAGCTTCAAAGACAAACTCAAAGAATGGTTGAGGGTGCAGGCCACGTAGGAGTGGCCACTTCTTTTTTTTTTGAGATGGAGTCTTGCTCTGTCACCCAGGCTGGAGTGCAGTGGTGTGATCTGGGCTCACTGCAATCTCTGCCTCCCAGGTTCAAGTGATTCTCCTGCCTCAGCCTCCCAAGTAGCTGGGACTACAGGTGCGTGAGGAGTGGCCACTTCTAATATTCAGTCTGTTCCAAAGCGGGTATTGTTTGTCCC